GTGAGTGAATGTGGGATGAATGAGTGAGTGAATGTGGGATGAATGAATGAATGAGTGAATGTGGGATGAATGAGTGAGTGAATGTGGGATGAATGTGTGAGTGGGTGAATGTGGGCTGAGTGAATATGGGGTGAATGAGTGAGTGAATGTGGGATGAATGAATGAATGAGTGAATTTGGGATGAAGGAGTGAGTGAATGTGAGATGAATGAATGAGCGAGTGAATTAGATGAATAAGTGAGTGGATGCAGAATGAATGAATGAGTGAATGCGGGATGAATGAATGAATAAATGAATGTGTGAGGAACGAATGAGTGAGTGAACGTGTGTTGAATGAATGAGTGAATGTGGGCTGCATGAATGAGTGAGTGAAGGTGGGATGAATGAATGAATACAAAGCACCCCACCTCCTGTGTGCTTCAGCAGAACAGCTTCACAGGAAAGGAGATGTCCTGGGCCCTGGGCCTCACCAAGCCAACCTTGGGGCTTCAGCTGAGAGTGTTAAAAATAGAGACCGTTAAAAAAAATTTTTTTTAAAGAAACGAACGGAAATTCCCTTTATCAAAAGGAGTCACTGTCATTGAATTAACAAAAGTTACATGTTCAGGAGCTGAGGGCCGTTTCTTGAAAATATAACACACCTTTCTAGGGGTTGCCCTGGGGAGAGCCCCGGAGTGAGGCCAGCTGTTCGGGAAAGCTGAGGCCGATGTGGGGGTCTATGTCCAGGGTGGGGCCTTCGGGAAACAGTCATCCAACAGTCACTAAGAAAGACACTGACAATTCATTCATGGATGTTGCAAATAAACTGTGGGCCTCACATAAAGGATTGTTACTTAAGGAAAATGCCCTTGGCCAATTCGTCCTGAGGATTGTTTGGACAAAACAGCATTTGTCAAGGTGGAACTTCGCAACAGGAAATGCAAAGATCCAGAAGATCCAGATAAATAATTTGGGCCGGGCACAGTGGCTCACGCCTGTAATCCCAGCAATTTGGAAGGCCATGGCAGGCCGATCACCTGAGGCCATTCTCCTGCCTCAGTCTCCCGAGTAGCTGGGACTACAAGCATGTGCCACAATGCCTGGCTAATTCTTTGTATTTTTAGTAGAGACGGGGTTTCACCGTGTTAGCCTGGATGGTCTCAATCTCCTGACCTCATGATCCACCCGCCTCAGCCTCCCAAAGTGCTGGGATTACAGGTGTGAGCCACCGCGCCCGGCCTTTTTTTTTTTGAGACCTACTCTTGCTCTTGTTGCCCAGGCTGAAGTGCAATGGCACGTTATCAGCTCACTGCAACCTCTGCCTCCTGGGTTCTAGCAATTCTCCTGCCTCGGCCTCCCAAGCAGCTGGGATTACAGGCACACACCTCCATGCCTGGCTAATTTTTTTTATTTTAGTAGAGATGGGGTTTCACCATGTGGCCCAACCTCACTGCTCTTTAGACGCTGATTATAATGTATTAGCATGCTAAGAGACACTCTCCCCAGCACCAGACAGTTTACAAATGCCATGGCAACATCAGGAAGTTACCCTATATTGTCTAAAAAGAGGAGGATGGCCAGAAGCAGTGGCTCACGCCTGTAATCCCACCACTTTGGGAAGCTGAGATGGGCACGTCACTTGAGACCAGGAGTTCCAGACCAGCCTGGTCAACATGGCAAAACCCCATCTCTACCGAAAATAGAAAAATTAGCCAGGTGTGGTGGTGCACATCTGTAATCCCAGCTACTCGGGAGGCTGAGACATGAGAATCTTTTGAACCCAGGATTCGGAGGTTGCAGTGAGCCGAGATCACACGGCTGCACTCCAGCCTGGGTGACAAAGTGAGACCTGTCTCAAACAATAAATAAATAAATAAGTAAATAAAAGAGGAGCCCTCAGTTTCAGGAATTGCCCACCCCTTTCCTGGAAAGCTCATGAATAATTTGCCCCTTGATTAGCATATAATCAATAAATAACTATAAAAATAGCCAACCAGCAGCCCATACTTCTGCTCTGCCTATGGAGTAGCCATTTTTTTATTCCTTTACTTTCTTAATAAACTTGCTTTCACCTTATGGACTCTTCCCCAGATTCTTTCTTGAAGGAGGTCCAGGTACCATCTTGGGGTCTGGATTGGGATCCCTTTGTGGTTAACACCTTTCCATAACTGCTGTTAATGGGAAAAAACAGACTCTAAAATATTTCACAGAGGTTTATTCTGAGCCTGTACATGTGACTGTGGCCTGAAGAAAACACAAACCCAGGAAGCCTTGAGTGAGTGGCCCTGAGGCGGCTGGGTTACAGCTTGGTTTTACTCATTTCAGGAAGACACGAGTTACAGGCAAAGACATAAATCAGTGCGTGGAAGGTGCACACTGATTTGGCCTGAAAGGCAGGAGATCTTGACTTGGAGCGGGGTTTACAGGTCATAGGTAGGTTCCATGATTCTTTATTTTCTGAGACTGAGTCTCACTCTGTGTCGCCCAGGTTGGAGTGCGATGGCGCGATCTCGGCTCACTGTAACCTCTGCCTCCTGGGTTCAAATGACTCCTCCTGCCTCAGCCTCCCGAGTAGCTGGGATTACAGGCGCCCATCACCATGCCTGGTGAATTTTTGTATTTTTAGTAGAGACGGGGTTTCACCATGTTGGCCAGGTTGGTCTCGACCTCCTGACCTCAAGTGATCCACCCGCCTCGGCCTCCCAGAGTGTTAGGATTACAGGCGTGAGCCACTGCACCCGCCGGTTCCACGATTCTTTAGTTGACGGTTGGCTGAAAGCGTGAAGCTTTATCTACAGAGGTGAAGTCGGAAGGAAGGCTGGAGTTAAGATGACCGGCGTGGGGGCTGAGGCCCTTGTTTTGCAGATGAAGCCTTGTAGGTTGCAGCCTCAGAGAGAATAGATGGCAAATGTCTCTTTTCAGACCTTAAAGATGTCAGGCTCTCAGTTAATCTCTCCTAGGCCCGGAAAGTCCTAGAAGGGGCAGTCCTGGCTGCACTCATGGAGATTCTCTACAGGTGCTAATTTCCCTGAGAAAGGATGGCTCTGGGGGGCCATTTCAAAATATGTCAAAGAAATATACTTTGAGGCAAAATATTCTAATTTCCTTCAGAGTCTGGCAATGCTATACCAGAGTCAGGCTGGAATTTGGTGTCTTATTGCCACACAGAGTGTGTTCCATCCGTCTTAGGATCCCGATTTTCATGTCAGGGCCGGCCAGCTGTGCCTCACCTCTGAAAGGGAAGGTTGTGGCTGTAAACGGCTGTAAAGGTCTGGCTGTTCGCCGCTTAAAAAGAAGCCGCGATGACAAGGGTAGGGTGTGGCAGAAAGAGAGTGAGCTGCTGGGCGTGGTGGCTCACACCTGTAATCCCAACACTTTGGGAGGCCAAGGCGGGTGGATCACGAGGTCAGGAGACCAAAACCATCCTGACTAACACGGTGAAACCCCATCTTTACTAAAAATACAAAAAATTAGCCAGGCGTGGTGGCGGGTGCCTGTAGTCCCAGCTACTCAGGAGGCTGAGGCAGGAGAATGATGTGAACCTAGGAGGCAGAGCGTGCAGTGAGCCAAGATCACGTCACTGCACTCCAGCTGGGGTGACAGAGCGAGACTCTGCCTCAAAAAAAAAAAAAAAAAAAAAGAAAAAGAAAAAAGAAAGAGTGAGTTTTATTCTCCGTGCTAGCAAGGAGGAGATTGACCGGAACTCTTTCCAAAAATGGCCACTCTTCAATTTGTAAAGGGAAGCATAGAGGGGGTCTGGAATGCAGGAGAGGCAGGGGCTAGGAGGTGCCAGGTGACCCGCTCTGATGGCTTCTCTTGCGTTATTGTTCCATCTGTTACACGAGGCAGCTGGTCAGACGTGAGCAGGGCAGGAGAGGGCCCTCCCAACCAGGAATGTCAGGCGACCATCAGGGTTGGTCGGGTGGCGGTTAACTGTCTCTCTAAAATAATAATTGGTCACAGCCAACGCCAGGGAAAGGCAGTCTCCCAACAGACAAAAAAATCCTGAAACTGGTGATCAGCAGCTTCCCCATAAGACCTCCGGCACTGGGTGAGTGGGCTCAAGCATGTGGATTAAAAGGCAAAACTGTGGAGTGTAACTGGCCTATGGCCTCCTAGGGACATTGACAGGTAAGGGAACAACGCCTCAGGTGAGCAGGTGCACAGCTCCAGTAAACACACAGCGCATGCTCCTCCCAAGTGCTGGCAGCCGCCGCACGTGTGGACAGCCCAGCCCAAGGGAAGAATCAGGGGAGAAAGCATGTCAGACCCCGGACGCGTGCCAACGTATACACCCAAGTCGAAGGTCAAACCACACACTTGTCCTTCAAGTCACCCGCTCGGCCCCCTTCCAAGTGTCCTTTCCTTCCATTCCTGCTCTGAAGCTTTTTAATAAATGTCACTCCTGCTCTAAAACTTGCTCAGTCTCTCCTTCTGCCTTCTGCTCCTTGGTCGAATGAATTCTTTCTTCTGAGGAGACAAGAGCTGCGGTTGCCGCAGACCTGTACGGATTTGCCACCGATCACACACTTCAGTGCCGTGTCACTTGGATAACTTCCACCACAAACACATCTGGGGAAGGGGCCGCGCCATCGCAGGTCGCCCCCAGATTACAAATCAATCGCAGTCAATCTTGCAGTGAATCTTTAGCCAGGAGTGAGCTCCGGCCTCAAAGTAACCCGCCTGCTGGGGAGGGAATTCCGGAGGTGCCTAGTTTGTGCCAGGATCTGGCCCCCGAAGCTTCTAAGGAAATAGATGACCAGATAGGTGAGCATGGTGTGCACTTAACCAGCATCCAGATAAACAAATGTGCACAGGGCCCGGGAGCTGCAGGTGGCAGAGGGAGGGCAGTGGGCTGACAGCTCGCTCCCAGGCTGGCTTTCAAGATGAAAGGAAGCACATCTGTAGTTTGCTCAAAGCTACGTCTTGAGACCGGGGAGAAAGGAGGAAAGAAAAGCAGTGTTAAAACGCAGCTCGAGGCTGAGCTGCTCGGGGACATAACGAGGCCTGTGTGGCCACCCGTGAGGTTTTCCAGGCTTCTCTGGGGTGAACATGGCCAAGCGGGGGTCACTTCAGTTGGCTGAGGACTTCGGGTCTTATTTTTGGTTTACACTGGCCTGGGATGGAACCGGGCAGTTCTAACGTGACCTGGGTGTGTACTGGTGGCTTCACTCACCCAGGGCAGGCAGGTGCCTGGAACCGGGACTCAGAAAGTGGCAGGAAGGTGGAGTGAGAAGATGGGGCTATTAGGGGCATGGCAGGGGCAGGTCAATCACCCCGAGGCTTCGGGAGCTTCCCGGCCTCTGGAAGGGCGGTGTGCTCGCCCTCCCCTGTGCACGGCGTTGATAACAGTGTTATCAGGAGCGGGAGTGTCCACTGAGCTGTGGCTTCGCCATGCCATACGAACACTCACAGGCAGCACTGCTGTCAGGAGGATGGAGGCTGGGCCGGGAGGCTTGTTTTCAAGGCCGCGAGTGTCAAACCCACAAACCGCAGAGCAGAACAGACTTGGCCGAGCAGATGAGGAGGGCCTCATCCTCCATCTCCCACCTCCATCCTCTTCCCAACTGAAGTCAGAGGCCGGGACGTGGGAAGCCCTGTCGGAGGCGGGAGGTGGGAAGCCCTGTCGGAGGTGGGAGGTGGGAAGCCCTGTCAGAAGGGGGAGGTGGGAAGCCCTGTCAGAAGGGGGACGTGGGAAGCCCTGTCAGAGGTGGGAGGTGGGAAGCCCTGTCAGAGGTGGGAGGTGGGAAGCCCTGTCAGAAGGGGGAGGTGGGAAGCCCTGTCAGAAGGGGGAGGTGGGAAGCCCTGTCAGAAGGGGGAGGTGGGAAGCCCTGTCGGAGGCGGGGGGTGGGAAGCCCTGTCAGAAGGGGGAGGTGGGAAGCCCTGTCGGAGGCGGGGAGGTGGGAAGCCCTGTCGGAGGTGGGAGGTGGGAAGCCCTGTCAGAAGGGGGACGTGGGAAGCCCTGTCAGAGGTGGGAGGTGGGAAGCCCTGTCAGAGGTGGGAGGTGGGAAGCCCTGTCAGAAGGGGGAGGTGGGAAGCCCTGTCAGAAGGGGGAGGTGGGAAGCCCTGTCGGAGGCGGGGAGGTGAGAAGCCCTGTCAGAAGGGGGAGGTGGGAAGCCCTGTCAGAGGTGGGAGGTGGGAAGCCCTGTCAGAAAGGGGAGGTGGGAAGCCCTGTCGGAGGCGGGGGGGTGGGAAGCCCTGTCAGAAGGGGGAGGTGGGAAGCCCTGTCAGAAAGGGGAGGTGGGAAGCCCTGTCGGAGGCGGGGGGGTGAGAAGCCCTGTCAGAAGGGGGAGGTGGGAAGCCCTGTCAGAGGTGGGAGGTGGGAAGCCCTGTCGGAGGCGGGGAGGTGAGAAGCCCTGTCAGAAGGGGGAGGTGGGAAGCCCTGTCAGAGGTGGGAGGTGGGAAGCCCTGTCAGAAAGGGGAGGTGGGAAGCCCTGTCGGAGGCGGGGGGGGGTGGTGGGAAGCCCTGTCAGAAGGGGGAGGTGGGAAGCCCTGTCAGAAAGGGGAGGTGGGAAGCCCTGTCGGAGGTGGGAGGTGGGAAGCCCTGTCAGAGGTGGGAGGTGGGAAGCCCTGTCGGAGGCGGGGAGGTGAGAAGCCCTGTCAGAAGGGGGAGGTGGGAAGCCCTGTCAGAGGTGGGAGGTGGGAAGCCCTGTCGGAGGTGGGAGGTGGGAAGCCCTGTCAGAGGTGGGAGGTGGGAAGCCCTGTCGGAGGCGGGGAGGTGAGAAGCCCTGTCAGAAGGGGGAGGTGGGAAGCCCTGTCAGAGGTGGGAGGTGGGAAGCCCTGTCAGAAAGGGGAGGTAGGAAGCCCTGTCGGAGGCGGGGGGGTGGGAAGCCCTGTCAGAAGGGGGAGGTGGGAAGCCCTGTCAGAAAGGGGAGGTGGGAAGCCCTGTCGGAGGCGGGGACGTGGGAAGCCCTGTCAGAGGTGGGAGGTGGGAAGCCCTGTCAGAAGGGGGAGGTGGGAAGCCCTGTCGGAGGCGGGGGGGGGGGGGGGGTGGGAAGCCCTGTCAGAAGGGGGAGGTGGGAAGCCCTGTCAGAAAGGGGAGGTGGGAAGCCCTGTCGGAGATGGGAGGTGGGAAGCCCTGTCGGAGGCGGGGGGGGCGGGGTGGGAAGCCCTGTCAGAAGGGGGAGGTGGGAAGCCCTGTCAGAAAGGGGAGGTGGGAAGCCCTGTCGGAGGTGGGAGGTGGGAAGCCCTGTCAGAAAGGGGAGGTGGGAAGCCCTGTCAGAAGGGGGAGGTGGGAAGCCCTGTCGGTGGCGGGGAGGTGGGAAGCCCTATCGGAGGTGGGAGGTGGGAAGCCCTGTCAGAGGCCGGGAGGTGGGAAGCCCTGTCGGAGGCGGGGGCGGGTGGGAAGCCCTCTCAGAGGTGGGGGGAGGTGGGAAGCCCTCTCAAAGGTGGGGGGAGGTGGGAAGCCCTGTCGGAGGCGGGAGGTGGGAAGCCCTGTCGGAGGCGGGGAGGTGGGAAGCCCTATCGGAGGCGGGAGGTGGGAAGCCCTGTCGGAGGCGGGGAGGTGGGAAGCCCTCTCAAAGGTGGGGGGAGGTGGGAAGCCCTGTCGGAGGCCGGGAGGTGGGAAGCCCTGTCAGAGGCCGGGCGGGGTGGGGGAGGTGGGAAGCCCTGTCAGAGGCGGGGGGGTGGGAAGGCCTGGGCCAGACAGATGATCCAAAGCCCTTGATTTTAGGTACCATCTCTTCAGTGTTTCTTGGCTGAGTAAACCAGCCCAATCTCTTTTTTATAAAGTGAGACCAGAGGTTGGCCTGAGAGTGGAGAGGAGTGAGGAATCTAGCTGTTCTAGGGCCCTGGGCTGTTCAGAATCCATTGCAAACCATTGGAAAGCAGGTTTGTGTATTTATTTAACTGCATCTTGTGGCTGGCCATTGTCTCTGTCTAAGCTGTCACCCAGCCCGGCTGCCTCCCCTGGGTCCCCACCTGACCTGCACACGTGCTGAGGACGAAAGCCTGTGTCCCCGACATGCATGGGAGAGCAGTGTCTTCCCAGGCCCTAGAGTGCCCGGCTGTGTGGGCAGCCCCAGGACATAGTCCTCTAAAGAACCTCATTGAGGGTCGGGGGTTGGAGGGGGCAGGGAGGGTGGGGCTCCAGGGTCTACTCCCAACCTTACAGCTTTTACCTCCAGAATCCCCAGGGTTCTGTCAGGAGGGTCCCTGAATGGCTTACAACAAAAACTTTGCCTATCCCTTTACCATTTGGGATGGTGCAGAACACCATCCCAAAATCAAGCAATGTGGATTCCAAGTTTTGCCTTAGGCCACACGGGATGGGGTTGCCCCCGGCTGGCAGACAGGACCTTTATCCCCATTGCCACAGGAGGATTCCCCTCTGTGGCCTCCCCACCGGCTGTGCCCTAAAATGGGTGCTATGTGCACAGCCCAGCAGCGGAGTCCAGGAGAGACTCCAGCAGGCAGGGGGCTACTGACCCAGGAGCACATTTCAGCATCTGGAAACTCCTCCCACTGCAGCTGCAGGGGAAGCGCCTGGAAGAGAAGGAAAAGAAAGAGGAGGAGGAGGAAAAGGAGGAAGAGGAGGAGGGTCATGCCCACGCTCATGGCAAGCGCCACCCTGGAGCTTTCTGTCTCGGTCCAAGCACATCTACCCGCCCTTCCTCACTGCATTCTCCCAGGGGCCCCTGGCCGCACACAGGCGCTACCTGCATTTGCATAAAGGGACTGGGCCCTTGGTGGAGGGCCTGGCCTGCCCCATCTTGGGTCCTGGCCCAGTGCTGTGGCTGCCAACCTGCCCTCAGAGCTTCACGGGAACCGAGGGCCCAGGCTCTGAGCGGAGTCCGGGTGGGCCGGGGCAGCCCCTGCCAGAGAGGCTCCTTCCTGACGCGGCCTCGCAGGAGGAGAAAGTGTCAGTTCCTCTTTCAGGCCCTGTAGACAGGTGTCCAGGTAGACAGGAAGTTCCGGGGGTGATTTTAGCTCTAAGTCTGTTGCTTTTCTCCCAGCAGGCTGGCTTTACTGTGGTTGTCCCTGTGGCCGTTGGCTGACGTTGCTGAAATTCCAGGCCTCCAGAGTGTCCACACGTCCACGGCGGGGAAAGCCTGTTGCAGACCAGCCACCACACCCTGCGGCTCAGGACCAAGCTCCTAAAGCCCAGAGGCCTGCCCTGGGAGCAGTCCTCAGCCAGGACTCACTCCTGAGAAGAATGAGAGGGGAAGCGCCTCCAGGCCAGGATGCCAGCTAGCAGCGCCCTCCAGTAACGTCCTGGAGGAAGCATCTCATTCGTGCCAAACTCACTAATTCTAATTCGTCATCATGATTCTTCACAATGAAGAAAAGCTCCAAGCCAGTGCCTTCCTGGGGCATGGCAGGCCTCCCTCTGGCCTGAGCGGGCAGCTGTGCCCAGACCTGGGCTCTTCCAAAGGCGCGCGACGGTCCTGCACACAGCTGGGTTGTGCTTGAGGCTTCATTTACAGTGGAGGCGGAGGGGTTCCTGGGGTTCCCCCATCATCGATCATTTCATCGTGGATACTCTCATCATCGCTAACTTCATCGTTGATACTTTTTTTTTTTTTGAGATGGAGTCTCGCTCTGTCGCCCAGGCTAGAGTGCAGTGGCTCGATCTCAGCTCACTGCAACCTCCGCCTCCTGGGTTCAAGTGATTCTCCTGCCTCAGCCTCCTGAGTAGCTGGGATTACAGGCATGCACCACCACATCTGGCTAATTTTGTACTTTTAGTAGAGACGGGGTTTCTCCATGTTGGTCAGGCTGATCTCGAACTCCTGACCTCAGGTGATCTGCCCACCTCAGCCTCCCAAAGTTGGTCAGAGTTTGAAACGAGCCTGACCAACATGGTGAAACCCTGTCTCTACTAAAAATACAAAAATTAGCCGGGCGTGGTGGTGCACACCTGTAATCCCAGCTACTCGGGAGGCTGAGGCAGAAGAATTGCTTGAGCCCAGGAGGCGGAGGTTGCAGTGAGCAGAGATTGCGCTCCAGCCTGGGTGACGGAGCGAGACTGGCTCAGGAAAATAAAATAATAAAATCTCTTGCCTTTGGAGTCGGGCATGAAATCTTCATCCGTGAGTTTTCCACCGGGGCAAGGCGGGCCACTGACCACCCTCAGCCTGGATGGATGCTGGCCCCCTGAGGGTCACCAAGCTTTGCCAGTGCTCCCTGGCCTGTGTGGGGCCTGGCTGAGGGCGAGGGTGACAGGAGTGCACTGTGTCTGGGACTGAGCAGGACTTGCAGTGCCTGGGCCCTTTGAGCCTGGTGACTCCTGAATCTGACGCCATCACCTGTGTGGGCCGACGCCAGCACCTTCCACGTTGTGCCCCTGTGTTTGCTGCTGGTCTCCAGGAGTGGCCGCTTCTCCATCAAAGAAGACTCCAGTCTTCAAGCCCATGGCTTCCCCCAGACCCCAGCCCGGCCAGAGAACAAAGGCTCCATTTCCCCTCCCTTGCAGCTGCGGTGGTTGCCACCACATGGAAGGCCCAGAGGAAGGAGGTCTGGAGTGGCCTGGAGTTGCGGCCTCCCCAGGCTACGGCCAGGACCGCCAGGAGGAAGACCCTTGCAGGCTCTAAGGTTAACACCGCCAAACCAAGTCCTGCTCCTGACAGGTTGGGTCAGGATGAGGAGGAGCGGTGGTGTCATGCGTGGGCACCTGAGGTCCCTGGCTGCTACAGCACAGAGAGGCCCCCACAGAAGGATGCCGCAGGTGCTGGAGCTCGCCCCCTGCATGGACAGCTGCAGTCTGGGCAGGGATGTAGGAGCAAAGCTGCAGGCCCGGCCCATCATGGAAACTCAGACCGGCAAGGCATGGAAGGACGTCACCAAGTCCATGTGGGGGATCCTGGGGACAGCATGGGGAGTGGGAGGGGGGACAGTGGGGAGGAGGGAGAGCTGGGGGAGCCTGGGGACAGGATGGGGAGTTGCCGGGGGGAGGGGTAAGGTGGAGGGAGGGCAGTGCAGGGAGGACAGTGGAAGAGGGAGGCAGTGGTGACAGTGGAGAGGGAAGACAGTGGGGAGGTAGAAGGGAGGAGGGTAGGACAATCCAGCCCCCATTGGCAGGGGCAGCTGGGGAGAGCAGGCCCTGCCTTTGTGTGCCCCAGGGCCTGGGCCTGCCTGGTTAAGAATCCGCACACTCCCAGAACTGGAGCTTCTCAATGTGGCTCTTGCAAGGTGAGCCCACACTCCGCTGGGGGCAACGCAGGGGACCCCGTGGTCCTCCCCAGGAAACGTGTGCTTTGCCCTGCCACAGAATTTGTGGCAGAAGCCCCTCCCTTGAGCTCAGGCCGCACCTCTGGCCACTGAAGACAAGGAGATGCAGAGAGGTCTCTGGAGTCTTACCCCCCAACCCCGCACCCCTACAGCAGGGGCAGGGCTTGGCAGCCTTCTTCGAGGCGCCCAGGCCTGGACAGCTATTCCAAAGCCACAGCTGCCCTCCCCAGGGTAGGTCCCTTGGTCTTAGGAGTGTCCAAGCTGCAGAGCCCAGTAGACAGAACCTGGTTCCAGCGCCTCACTTTACAGTAGGGGAAACTGAGGCACAAGCACAGTGCTACCTGGCTCAGGGGCCAGCAGGCAGCCGTTTCCCTTCTGTCTCCTGCCCTAGGGACGGACCGCCCCATCTGCCAGCCTTGACTGGAGCCTCCCTGGTGGCTGTTTACTGCACACCTACTACGTGCAGGGTGGTGCAGCTGGCGAGAGTCTCCTCTCCTCTTCCACAGACCGGCAAGGTTCCCGAGCCCTCTGGCAGGCAGGACCTTTGGCTGGAGGTGGATGTGCAGGGCAGGGTCTCTGAGGGGAGACCTCGGACTGTGGACTTGTGGGTCGACGCTTCTCTGTGTTGGGGCCTCCTGTGTCTGGTAGGATGTTGAACAGCATCTGGGGCTTCCACCCACTGAAGCCAGGAACAGCCCCTAGCTGTGACAACCCAAAATGCCTCCAGACCTGGCCTCATGCCCCTCGTGGGGGGACAGAACAGCCTGGTGAGGGCAGGGCCCCCCGAGCAGGAGTGGCACCTGTTCCTGCTCAGACCACAGACAGCTGAGCTGGCGGTGCGCAAGACTCCCTGCACCCACCAAAGCCACAGGACACAGGCACCATTTGCATCTTACTCTCTTAAGTCAGGTTTCTGGAGATGGCTGTCACAACACTGGAATTCAGCCTATCTACAGCACAGGAGAACGAGGAAGCTGATGTCTTGGGCTGAGAGGGGCAGGTGTTACAGGGTGGGTCTTACAAATCCCACCATGCAGGGCTTCTGAGGGGGACTTCGGGGACCAGCAGGGAGGTGAGACTCAGGCACTAACCCGCAGAGGGCATGGCCCTGGACGCGCAGTGGTGACAGCAGCCTCCAAGTGTCCCCTGGGCCCCAGGCATGAGGGGTAGAAGCTTCTGGGGCTCCTGCATCTTTCCTGCCTGTCCCCTGGTGAAGGAAAATCACCTCCAATGGGAAAAGCTGGAGCCAGACTCCCTCTCCCTGCAAGGGTGTCGCCATCCTGCCCGTGAGGTCCCTGGGCCCAGGGCACCTCCCAGGACACCCGAGTGGTGATGCACCACCCTCAGTCCTGGGGCTTAGGACCTCTGGGTGCCCCCGCAGCTCTGTCCTGGAGTCACTTCACAGTCACCGCAAATGGGCACCACACCCCGCTTTCCAACGCCCCAAATTTCCACACCCAAGCAGCTCCCTGCCAGTCAATGCCCGGTGATGACAACTGTACTTTTACAAACACTACACATCTTCTAATGCTTTCATGTTAAAAGCAGGAGTGGATTCACTTAAAGGCCCAGGTAGGGACTTTTTTCGTAGAAAACCAATTTCTTGTGACAAGTACTAGAACCTCATTGTAACCATGAGCCCTCACTCCTCATTTTGTTGTAGTCTGGGTCTGAGAAGTGCAGGCCTCACACAGCTGTCAGTTTCAAGTGACCAGGGCTGTAACAGGTCCTGGCTGACCCCAGGAATGTCAGGGACTCTGGGAAGGAAGGAGGAGGGGCGTTTGCCCATAGCCCCGGGGTAGACACGTGTCCCCAGGGCCAGGCCAGGCCATCTACTCCATCTCCCTGGGGCAAGTGCACCCTGGGTCACCTGGTAGTGTCCTTTCCAGCCCTCCTGGAGACAGTCAGCAGCTGATTCATTCCAGGCACTAGCACGGTGCTGGGGCATGTCAGGACCCAGGGCCACACCCCTCAGCAGTGGGCCACCCTGTCTCCTGCGCCCTTGGGACTGTTGAGCTCCGAGGAGCCTGGTGCTGGGGTCGGAGGTCTTCATCAGGACCCTGGGGACCCTCATGGTTGAGTGGGGTGGGGCTGCTGAGGGCAGCGGAGGATGGGGGAGCCACCCCTCACTTTGGGGATCACTGCTGTGGTGACAAGGGGGACCGTGGTCACCAGGTGATGCCCCCTCAACTTCTGCTCAGGACTCTGGGGATCGTGTTGCCAGGCCTGCACCTACTGGACATGGGCATCTCCAGCCCTGCTGGGCTGTGCCCAGGGCTGTGTCTTTCTCACTGCAGAGCCAAGAGCCCTGGCAGCCTCTACAGCTGGCCAAACACGGCCCTGGCACAGCCTTTCTTCTGGCAAACTCCACCAGCGCCTCTTCCAAAGGCGGCTCAGCTTTTCACCAGAACAGCCGAGGGCCACTGTTCCTCCCGGGGAATGTGGCAGAGGACAACGAAGCCCAGTGGGGCCTTCCAGGGGCTCCTTGGTGTGGACGGCTGCCTACACTTGTGGACACGCACATGTGTGGGTCCTGTGGCCTCCGGGCAGGAGGTAGGTTGGGAGCATCCAGGGCAGAAGAGCTCCTGGGACCGTGCCTCCTGCAAACAGCCTCGCGCGACCCCAGCAGCACAGAGGCCGTCCTGGAAGAGTGGACACCCAGAGTCTTCTTCTGAAGCCAACCACCCTTCAGTCTCAGGGCCCCGCATCCCATGGGAAGACCCACAGTAGGTCTGGGGTACTGGGAAGAGCCTGGCGTTGAATCTCGCATGCTCCGGGTGGAAAGAGCCCATCACCAGTCCCTTCCTGTGAGTGACTGGCAGTGACAGTGGGGATTTGCCTTTGGTGTGGATGACGATTTTGAAAGGGCCTCATTCCAGGATCACAGACAACGCCAGCAGTTTCTCCCTGGGATCCAGCAGTGGTCCTTCTGGGGGTGGCCCCAAGTGCTCCCCTGCAGTCTGGGAGGCACCTGTGCGAGTCCATTCTCAAGCTGCCACCTGGCCTCTCATGGTGGCGTCTCACGGAAGCCCTGTCCACGCTCTGGGCGGTGAGCTCCGGTCAAACATGGCCTTGGAAGGGAAGTGAAGAGAGAGGAACATGAAGCACCCCTTTCCATTCTGCAGGCAGACGTCGGTTTTCTCAGGACTCAGCTTGGTGGAAACAAAGGGTTTAGAGCTTCGGAAACAGCCACCTGCACAAGGCACTTCGACTGGCTCTGGTAGGAACAGGCTGGCCGTGTTTTCAGCAAGCTGTGTTCCTGTGTCATCTGGACGGGCTGACCTGGCCTTGGAAGTGAGTTTCTGCAGTCAGCCATCCGCTCGCCGGGGTCCACAAGTGACACCACAGCGTGGTGGCTGTGCACACCCTGAGCCCACTGTCCCCAGGGAACCCCTGCTCATGGATGGCAAACAGGGCTCAGAGGGGATCCTGGTCCATGGCGGGGAGCCCAGCTGGCCTGCCTGCGAAGCCAAACGCCCCTTGCAGTCAGAGGCACCTGCCAGGTAGGTGACTGTGTGTGGACATTTTTCCCAAATTGGACAGGAATCCACATCTGTGTTGCTCCTGGGACTGAGGGGCACACCTCCACCGGGAGACAGGGAGCCGCCCGAGAGCTGCAGGAGTGGCTGCTGCAGAGAGAAGCCGGCAGTGCCTGGACCTGCTCCGGACATCCTGGTAGGGGTGGGCGCAAGTGCCTGGACCCCCTCTGAACACCCCGTGGGGGGTGGGTACTAGTGCCTGGACCTGCTCTGAACATCCCGTGGGGGTGGGCGCCAGTGCCTGGACCTGCTCTGAACATCCCGTGGGGGTGGGCGCCAGTGCCTGGACCTGCTCTGAACATCCCGTGGGGGTGGGCGCCAGTGCCTGGACCTGCTCTGAACATCCCGTAGGGGTGGGCGCCAGTGCCTGGACCTGCTCTGGACACCCCGGTGGGGGCTGGGCGCCAGTGCCTGGACCTGCTCTGAACATCCCGTGGGGGTGGGCGCCAGTGCCTGGACCTGCTCTGAACATCCCGTAGGGGTGGGCGCCAGTGCCTGGACCTGCTCTGAACATCCCATGGGGGTGGGCGCCAGTGCCTGGACCTGCTCTGGACACCCCGGTGGGGGTTGGGCGCCGGGGAACACAGGGGTCCAGCACTCGTCTCTCTGCTTCTGTGTGTGTTGGGAAAATCCCATTGCAGTGTGAGAAAGTGCACACCAGGATGCCACCCCATGCCAAGGGGAGGCTGCAGGAAATGCCGTGCGTGCCATCGAGGGCTTCACTGCGTCTCCGGGAGCAACAGTTGTTCAAGGCAAAGGACTTTTGCCTTTTGAAAGTTTTTTGACAATCTGAAAGACAGCTGCCAGCCAAGCCTCCCTCAGGCACCCCAGAACCTGCTGCTTCCCATGGCAAACTCACCAGCGAGCTCTGGCTCCGGCCTCACAGCCCAGACACCTGGGGGACAAACGAAAATGGTCAGGGCAGCAGCGGTGGGGGTGTCCCTAAAGCTCCTGGTGCTCCTGAGCTCTCAGTAGCCCCCTAAACGCCCTGCTTGGAAGTCTCCCCGAGGCTCCCAACTCCAGGCGGGGAAAGCACTCATAGAGGAGGGGCTCCCCAGGCCGCACGGCTTTTGAGGACGATCCTCTTAAAGGAGTAAGTGCCTGGGAAGCACTTAAAATGCTTCGACCTGGCTCTGGGGCACCTCTGTGGCCTGGCCAGCCAGCAGTGGCATCATGGCCATGGAAGATGTTTCTGGGATGACTGAGATTGGCCACAAATGGGAGAGCCAGGGGCAGCCCACAGGAGCTGCCCCTACTCTGTGGCCACTGTGCCTGCACCCCACTGACTGCCATCCTTGGGGGGTCTGGGACGAGTCCCCCCGTCCCCGTCATCAGGACCATCACCGCAGCCAACGTTTGGGGCTTCCTGTGCTACTGCGTTCTGCTGCTGTGTCTTACGTGGCTGAAACACAGACCTCCGGGCTCTGTCGCGGAGCTGGTCGGAGTCACAGACCCACAGCGCGGGTGTGCTTGAGGCAGCCTCAGCGGCTTCCCCGGAAATGGCCACCGCCCGGCCTCTACATGCAGAAGCCGCCCTCCCCGCCCAACCTGCAGGGCAGACTCCACAGCGCCCTTCGGGCTTGGCAGTGTCAGGAACGTCAGAGATGCTGGGTTTCAAAACCACTTCGTGGGAGAGCTCGGGTTGCTAAGGCTCATGAGTGCTGATGCTACCACAACAGTTTCAAGCTAAATCAGTATCAGTGAGGGAAGTTAAAGCAGGCAAACGTTCACACCAACAGAACAAACATTAACATCCACAATATGGGGCTGTCTCTACCCACCTGCATAGCTGCGGCGGAGCCATCGGTCCCTGCACACCCAGCCTATGGCCACCGCCACGGCCACAAGCAGGCACAGGACAGCCAGGACGCTCCACGTGACCTCGGTCTTCTCGCGGGTACTGACTGGATTCTCTGTGATCTTGTCTCTCTCTCCGATGTTGTTTCCTATAAGAAAGAGGTAAATAACCCGACTTAAAGGATCTTAGAGGAAAGGGGTCTTTTTTTTCATCCTGAGTAGAAAGTATTGCAGGGAAGTATTTATTCCAGAGAACTTTCCTGACATTATTTTGAGGTTTTAAAAACACCAGGCTGATGAGAGGAGGGTTTTCTCCTGCAGAGGGGCTTCATTTCCTGCAGGGATCTTGTTCCTCCCGTCCTACGTGGGAGAGGCGATAACCCCAACCACAGCCAGGGGACCACAGGGCTGGGTGTGACGGGAAGCACAGGTTCTTACTGGATTTTTAAAAATCAAGGTGAGGCCAGGCACAGTGGCTCACGCCTTGTAATCCCAGCACTTTGGGAGACCAAGGCGGGCGGATCACCTGAGGTCAGGAGTTTGAGACACGCCTGGCCAACATGGAAAAACCCCATCTCTACTAAAAATACAAAATTAGCCAGGCGTGGTGGCGCATGCCTGTAGTCCCAGCTACTCTGGAGGCTGAGGCAGGGGAATCGCTTGAACCCGGGAGGTGGAGGTTGCCATGAGCCAAGATCGGGCCACTGCACTCTAGCCTGGGCGATAAGAGCGAAACTCCACCTCAAAAAAAAAAAAAAAGAAAGAAAGAAAAAATCAAGGTGAAAGTCACATAACATAAAATTAACCATTTCATTTTATTTATCTAGGTTTTGAGACAGGATCTTTGCTCTGTTGCCCAGGCTGAAGTGCAGTGGTGTGATCATAAGTCACTGCAGCCTCAACCTCCTGGGCTCAGTCAGTCCTCCCACCTCGGCCTCCCAAGTAGCTAGGACTACAGGCGTGCACCACCAGGCCTAGCTAATTTTTTTTTTTTTTTTTTCTGTAGAGGTGAGTTCTCACTATATTGCCCTGGTTGGTCTCAGGGCTCAAGTGATCCTTTTGCCTCAGTCTCCTAAGTAGCTGTAACTACAGGTGTGCACCACCGTGCCCAGCCAAAATGAGCCACTTTAGGCTTTTTTTTTTAGACAGAGTCTTGCTCTGTCGCCCAGTCTGAAGTGCAGTGGCGCGGTCTTGGCCCACTGCAGCCTCCGCCTCCCAGGTTCCAGCGATTTTCCTGTCTCAGCCCCCCGGGTAGCTGGGATTACAGGCACACGCCACCATATCTGGCTAATTTTTGTATTTTTATTAGAGACAGGGTTTCGCCATGCTGTCTAGGCTGGTCTCAAACTCCTGACCTCAGATGGTCCACCCACCTCAGCCTCCCAAAGTGCTGGGATTAAGTGTGAGCTACCGCGCCCGGCCCAAAATGAACCATTTTAAAGTGAACAATTCAGGGCGCCAGTCCAGGCCGGGCGTGGTAGCTCAAGCCTGTAATCCCGGCACTTTGGGAGGCCGAGACGGGCGGATCATGAGGTCAGGAGATCAAGACCATCCTGGCTAACACGGTGAAACCCCGTCTCTACTAAAAAATACAAAAAAAACTAGCTGGGCGAGGTGGCGGGCGCCTGTAGTCCCAGCTACTCGGGAGGCTGAGGCAGGAGAATGGCGTGAACCCGGGAGGCGGAGCTTGCAGTGAGCTGAGATCCGGCCACTGCACTCCAGCCTGGGCAACAGAGCAAGATTCCGTCTCAAAAACAAAAACAAAAACAGGGTGCCAGTGCAATCGTAACCGCTACCTAATTCCAGAACCTGTAACCCTCGAAAGGAAACCGTGTCCATGAGCAGTCACTCCTGCCTCTTTCCCGTCCTCTGCTATCCTTCTGGGCAGTTCATCGGCGAGAATGTCCATTTCACGGACACGTGAGCCCCTGTGCCAGCAGCAAGAAGGACCAGATCCAAATGAGGGGGTCCCGGAACAGCCGGGGCCTCTAATTTTCCTCTTAAATTTTTTTTTTCATTTAGTGCTTTATAGCACTCCCTTAAAATTTCACTTTTAAAACTCTAGTTTGGGTGTGGGGGCTCACACCTGTAATCCCAGCACTTTGAGAGGTTTAGGCAGGAGCCTCGCTCGTGTCCAGCAGTTTGAATCCAGCCTGGGCAACAGAGTGAGGCCCCATCGCTACAAATAATCCAACATCAGCCAGGCGCGGTGGCACGTGCCTGTAGTCCCAGATACCCAGGAGGCTGAGGCAGGAGAATTGCTGTCCTCCTGCCCCTGGAAGCCTCTAGTTTGCTTTCTGTCTCGGTGGCTCACCCTATTCTGGACACTTTGCATAAACAGAGTCCCACAGGGTTGTCCTCAGGTGTCTGGCTCTGTCACTCGCATAATGGCCTTGAGGTTCTCCACGCCGCAGGACAGCTGCTTCCTTCCTTTTTCAGGCTAATTCTCCCCTGCATGCACGGATCACTTTTGGTGCATCGGTCCACCCACGAGGGACACTTGGGTGGTTCCTGCCTTCTGGCTGCCATGAACATTCACGGACAAGCATTTGTTTGAGTCCTTGTTTTGCATCCTCTTAGCGATAACCCTAGGAGAGAACTGCTGGGTCCTACAGTGTTTCCATGCTTAGCTTTTCGAGGAACTGCCACACCGTTCCCTACGGCAGCTGCACCCTTCTGCTCTTCCACCGTGATGCACAAAGGCACCAATGCCTCTGGTCTCTATGTGCAATGACTTTGCCCCTCCGAGAGCCATCCGCACTGGCCAACAAGCAGCAGCATCCCCCGGGAGCGTGTTCTGAATGCCTGGCACGTCTCCAAACACACCTGGAGAAACCACCTGGACGGTGCTCAACCTTGAACCTCCGAAGCTTTTAGACACTGTCCTGATGCCAGGTGCCAGCCCAGAGCTTCAGGTCCAATGTGTCTGGGCATGGGGGTTTTCATAGGCTGCCCAGATGACCCCACTGTGTAGCCAGGGTTGAGACGACGGCCCTGGGAGAACCTTCTGCTGCCACCTGGGCTGTTCTGCGGGGAGTGTGCTGGCTGGAAGGCAGCGATCAGAGGCCACTTTGGGAGCAGCCCCTCATCCTGCTGCACGCAGCTCACAGACTCTGAATGTTGAATCACAAGGGCTGAGCCCTGATTTCAAGGAGAACGTCCGGCTCTGCGGGATCCTGGCGGCCAGGCTGGGCTTCGAGGGTGTGCACCTGTGCAGGCTTCTGGGGTTGAGTTCAGAAAGGCCGGCAGGAGGTGCAATGCTTGTGGTCACTGTCTGGAATTCTTAATGCTTCCAAAACAAGGAGCCCTGCATTCTTGCTCTGTGCGGGACCACACGGTGAGTCCTGCTGGCAGCCGCTTTCCTGTAGCCAGCAGGACCCCAGGACCCCTCCTCGATCATCTCCTGCCTCCACCTTCTGCCTCTCATCCTGACACAGGAGATGGGGACACAAATGGGGAGGTCCTGTGGCCTCTAGGAAGGAGTCCCCGCAGAGGAACCCCTTCCAGAGGGCACCCTTTCCCCAGGGAGGGGCTGGGCCAGCAGTCATGCCCAGTGGGATTCCCGTGTGTGGGGGCTTCAGTCTTCTCAGGGGACACATGCCCAAGAGGCAGGGAGCTTGAGGGGGGCTGCACAGGTGTGGGCTTCCGTCCTGGGCTGCGGCTGCCTAGTCCTGCGGCTTCTGAAGTGTTCCCCAGCCTCAGAGTTCAGCCCTCATCTGTAAAGTAGGTTTAACAAAACTGACTCCAGGTGAAGAAAATGGAGCAATGTGCTCCGGGCACGGTGCCCATTCCTGTTCCCGGAGACCGCGGCGGTTCTCACTGTGTGGCGTGTGCCTCCTGCCTCCTCTCCCTTCCAACCACCTTTCGGGTGCTGAGCCAGGTCGAAGGGACGTTTCGTCTCCTGCCTCAGAGGCTCTCCGAAGCCAGCCCTGGCCCCACTGTCTTGGGCTGGGCTCGGCTCAGCACGCAGGCATCGGGACCTTACCTGTTTGGCTGCCGACCGTCAGGTTCTGCCGCAGAAGCACGTTCTCTATGCAGCAACCGATGTTCAAGCTGGGGGTCCGCGCGATCCTCAGCACGCTGACCACGTCGTACAAGCCCCGCGTGTTCAAGAAGACAGTGTCATTCTGCAGAGCCTGGTCCAGCAGGCTGTTGTCCGTCTTGTTGATCCAGTACACGTTGGGCCTGGGGTAGCCGTTTATGGATGTACACGTGAAGGTGAGCTCGTCCTGGGAGGGGTTGTGGGGGGTGCTGACCACAGGCACGCTGAAGTTTGCTGCAGGGGAGGGAAACAGGTCGTGAGAAATGCCAGGCCCTGCTGGTCAAGAAACAGAGGGTACACAGTGCCAAGGCTGGGTCAGAGGGTAGGCGGCCCATTGTGCCCCAACATGGATGACAGGCCAGGACCAGGGCTGTGGTCTGAGCAGCAGGCTCGGCCCAGTCCTGCCCAAGAGTCATCCCCCAAGCCAGTCCCAGTAGCCAGGGACCGCTGAGCCTGGCAGGCAGTGACTGGCACCCACAGACCCCCCACTCCATGGCCGCTGGCTGTGCCAGGACCCCCTCATTTGCATCTGGTCTTTCTTGCTGCTGACACAAGGGCTCGCAGTCCATCTGAAATGGACACGGCTGTTCTCCCTGATGAACTGCCCAGAGCTCCTTGGTTGCCTCTAATTTTTCTCTTAAATTTCGTTCTCATTTAGTGCTTTATAGCACTCCCTTCAAATTTCACTTTTAAAACTCTAGTTTGGGCGTGGTGGCTCATGTTTGTAATCCCAGCACTTTAGGAGGGTGAGGCAGGAGGATCACTTGTGTCCAGGAATTTGAGACCAGCCTGGGCAACATAGTGAGACCCCATTTCTACAAATAATCGAAAATTAGCCAGGCGAGGTAGCATGTGCCTGTAGTCCCAGATACTCAGGAGGCTGAGGCAGGAGAATTGCTTGAGCTCAGGAAGTCAAGGCTGCAGCATGATTGTGCTACTGCACTCCAGCCTGGGCAACAGTGAGACCCTGTCTCAGAAAACAAACTAACTGGCCAGGCGCGGTGGTTCAGGTCTGTAATCCCAGCACTGTGGGAGGCCAAGGCGGGCAGATCACGAGACCAGGAGTTTGAGACCAGCTTGGCCAACATGGTGAAACCCTGTCTCTACTAAAAATACAAAAATTAGCTGGGTGTGGTGGCGGCGCCTGTAGTCCCAGCTACTCAGGAGGCTGTGGAGGAGAATTGCTTGAACCCAGGAGGCGGAGGTTGCGGTGAGCCAAGATCGCGCCACTGCACTCCAGCCTGGGTGACAGAGCGAGACTCCGTCTCTAAATGAATAAATAAATAAATAAAAACAAAAACTAACTCAAAAGAGGCAAAGACAGCCAGGGTAGGAGCTCTTCCGGGAAACCAAGCAGCCGCAGGTCACGCACTAAGGATTTTTCAGCTGTTTAGCTTCCCTCGAAGTTAGACAGAAGCCTGATAACACAGAGGAGAATTTTCTTCACTGGAAGAAACAGTGAATGAGCCAGGGAGGGAGTTTCATGAATACTTTTCCACGATGCAAGGCTGGGATGGACCCAGCTCTCTCCACCTCGATGGTCCTACCTGCCACATGCAGTGTGACCACAACGCTCAGCACCTCCTGGAATCCCAGGGATTGGCTCAATACCAGGCAGTGAAACTTCTGCTCATCCTGGGGGGTGACGTTGAACAAGCGCAGGGAGAAGTCGCCCCGCTGCATGCCGGCCGGTGACATCAGGGCCCGGTTCCGGTAGTGGCTGTCCACGTTGTCCAAGGAGCTGTTCTGCGGGATGTGGTAAGTCACCACGGTTTTCGACTCGCTGGTTTGCCAGTATACGTAAACGTCATTTAAATCAAAACGGCTTCCTTCGGGGCACGCGCAGCTGAGCTCCACGTCGCTGCCCACCATCGCTCTGACTTCCTTCTCCTGAGTATCTGCAATGACCCAACAGGTGTAAAATCTGTTTTTTGAGGCTGATGCCCAGGCCATGAAGCTACTCTATGGGGCAGGCTTTGGGTTTCAAGCCTCAAACACCAACTGTGGCTCAGAATTTATTAACAAGGCACATGTAGGAATGCAGTCAAACTTGAAAAATGCGGACATTTCATGGTGAGGTCCATGTCAGCCTTTGGCTTTGATGACACACTCCCATTATGTAAGGAGCTGCCTTGGGGAGCAGCGGCTGGATGCGGCCCGGCCGCTCAGTGTTATTTGTGTTACTCAGCACAATTTTTACTACTTCTTGGGAGTCTATAATTAATGTAAAATAAAAAGCTCTTTAAAAATCAGGCATTTAAGGGAAAACAATTTCTCAGCAATTACATTATCATGCTGCTCATTCTTGCATCAGGAAAGGTCTCATAAATGTAACAGACAGGGTGGCTTTACTGTTTGTGCAACCGCGTAAATGCCTGTGGGAAAATCTTTTTTTTTGAGACGGAATTTTGCTCTTGTTGCCCAGGCTGGAGTGCAATGGCACGATTTTGGCTCACTTCAACCCCCGACTCTGGGGTTCAAGCGATTCTCCTGCCTCAGCCTCCCAAGTAGCTGGGATTACAGGTGCCCGCCACCACGCCCAGCTAATTTTTTGTATTTTTAGTAGAGATGGGGCTTCACTACGTTGGCCAGGCTGGTCTCGAACTCCTGACCTCAGGCAATCCACCTGCCTCGGCCTCCCAAGGTGCTGGGATTATAGGAATGAGCCACTGCACCCAGCACCTGCAGGGAAATCTGTGTGTGTCCCCTGCCCCCAAAGCCCTCTGGGCTGGAAGGCCCGGCAAGGTTTCGGGTTTGTGCTGCGGTGCCTTGTCCCTATTCCTGGCTCTTCCAGAGGCTGGTGGCCCTTAGGGCTCAGCAGGGCTGCTGCCTGGGACACGGAGACCAGGGGACCCAGGAAGCTCTGGCTCAGAGGAACTGCATTCTGCCCGCAACAAACACAAAATCAAAAAATAACTCCGGAGTTTGCAGAAGTGTTTCTCTTTAAGGAAACGCTTCTATCCTGTGCAGCAACCTAGGTTTAGGGCCCACCTTTCTCCAAAGGGCCACTTGAGAAGCAAGAAGGAGCCTGGTGAGGCTGCTCCCAGCGCCCTGTAGCCGGCAGTCCACACAGTCGGACAGCCTATCTCTGAGCTGGGCGTTCACACCCATGGCAAAGCACCCCCTGAACTTACCGGCTCGAAGGCTGCTGAAGAGCAGGAGGAGCAGTCCAGGACTGGAAAAAACAACCAGAAAGGCAGGTGAGGCGGGGCCGCTGGTGAGTTACCTACATCTTCCAAACAGGAGCAAGCTGGTTCCCACGGGCAGGAGGCGGTTACGCCCATCACAGAAATGTGAAGGCAGAGCCAGGAGCCTGCCTGCCTCTGCTCTCCATGGGAATTCAGGGTCTGGGGCCAGGACCACCACCCCTCGGCTGAAGGCAGAGCCAGGAGCCTGCCTGCCTCTGCGCTCCATGGGAATTCAGGGTCCAGGGCCGGGACCACCACCCCACGGCTGAAGGCAGAGCCAGGAGCCTGCCTGCCTCTGCGCTCCATGGGAATTCAGGGTCCAGGGCCAGGACCACCATTCCCCTGCCCAGCACAGCAAGTCTGAGGGGCTGGCAGCCTCTCGCCACTCTCTAGTTCTTGTGGTAACAAATCCCCGGAAACACAGTGATGCCGGCGTGAGGATGAAGGGGAGCGAGGGACGCCACCGAGACTGGTCTAACCTTCCTGGGGACAGATGCCAAGAAATTATAGGAAATCAGAGAGAGAGAGAAAAAAAGGCTTTCAGGGCACATATAGCAGGAGCGTCACTTAAAATGCTGGGGAGACTAAGAACATCGGGCATGCCTGTGACAGGGTCAGGTGAGTGACGGGACAGCCCTGTGGGGAACGCGGATCATTTTGAAACCAAACCTGAGCTCCTCCTGTTTCAGATCCTGCTGCGGCTGGTGCCCCTGCCTTGGGCAGCAAATTCCCCTCAAGACTCCAATGCTCCTGGCCATCTTGGGTCTGGGAGCCTTTGCACCGTGCACACCATAGGCTCACCACCTCCACCTGCCAGCCCCCAGGATGCCTTCCCCAGGTGGAGGCCCTTAGTGGTTGGGTTCACTTTGGTAGCCTGCTTACCCCAGCCCCCAAAACCATCAGTTTCTGTGGCCAGTTCCCCACAAAGTGGGAGTCCCCGGAGCAGGGATATCTCCTTCTCTGATGTCCCTGCACCTCCAAGTCTGGGAGACGCTCATGCCTCTTCTCTGTGGCCTCTGCCTGGGAAATCTTGGGGGCTTTGTAAGCCAAAGGCTGGTCTTGTGGGAACCTCCCAGTGGGCTGTCCCTGAGCCCTGGAGCCACAGAAACCCCTGCCCCACCCACGATGACCGTCATCTGAGTCCGCATGGAGGTGTGCCTGTGCCAAGTGAGCACACATGCACCAAAGCCAGCCGCAGGTCACCAGGGGCTCTTGAAGCCTGCAGGTGGCCCTTCCTCTCTCTCCCACTCCTCCTGTGGGGGCCACCATTCTGGCTTGCAAGATGGCTGTGATGGCCTCCAGCAAGCCCCCTGAATCCACCTGGACCTCCCTGCCTCCAACCTCAGCCCCTTCAGTCATCTCCCCAGAGCCACCATCTAAACAACAGCTGTGAGAAACCCTCTGTGCCCCCATTTGTCTCCCACAGGGCCTACGTTCATCACCTGCGCACAAGGCCCATCCTGTCTATGGAGGCCTCCTCAGGACACCTGGGGGCTTCCTGGGCCGGGGTGTGCCTGCTCCAGGCTCCTTCTGGCTTGTCCCCTCCCTGGGTGCCGCCTACCCAGCGGCCTCTGTGTCCTCTCCTTGGACCCTCAGCACCCCTGCATCTAACCTACTCCCCACCCCGAGTTTTCATCAAGACCCAGCACAGACAGGGTAGCCTACTTGAAGGTGTGGGTGGCGGAGGGCTAAGACATTTGGGAGGGTTATGACATTCCGGGGCTTTTAAATTCTTTATCTCTAGGGCAGGATCATAACTGCATACATTTCTAACGGTGAGGGGTACTGGGGAGTGTGACACCAGCGTGGCCAGGCTCTGGGCTGTACGGGAGGCATCCCTGAGGTCAAGGGCCTCACAGGTTCACCCAGGGGAGCACGGGCTGCAGACCCTACAACGTGGGTTGCCAAGAGCATATTTTCGCAAAAATTCAGGAGGAAGCTGTCACTCCTGGTTCAGGCAGCCCTGCTTTCCTCAGTGCAGATCGGCTGCCGGGCTGCGGGGAATCCCACGTGTGTGGGGGAGGGCGTGTCGCCAGACCGTGGGTACCCGCAGGCCTTGGAGAGAGCTCGGCCGGTCACCTCCCTCCTTCTCCCTTCTAAGAAATCAGCGGTGCCAGGGAGTGGAAGGGGCAGCGCCCGTACCCAGGCGTGCAGGATGCGCCCGCCTTCCCTCCCTCGTTTCAGCGTTCGCGGTCCCCCTTCCCTGGCAGGGACCCCGCCCCCAAGACCGCCCCCGCACGGCTGCGCGTCCTCCAGTGGATGCCGGTGCCCGGCCCCGCCGCCCGCTGCCGTCCACGCCCCGCCGGCAGCCCCGGCGCCTCCGCCGCCCGCTCCTCGGACCCGCACTGCCCGCCCGGCGCCTCCAGGCGAGCCCCGCAGGCCCCGCGTCCGAGCCCAGCTGGGGACGCGCGGGCCGAGCCACCCCGCCCCTGACCGCGGTGCCTCCGCTCCTTCCCCGGCTCACCTGCCCAGCCGCATGGTGCGGGCGGAGACCTCTGGCCGCGGAGACCTCGGGGCGCAGAGAACTTGGGCCGCGGGAGACCTCGGAGAGGAGCAACCTCGGGGCGCGGGAGATCGGCTTTAACTGCGCTCCCGCCGCGCCCGAGACTCTGAGCGCCCAGCGCGCGGCGGGCGGGAGGCAGCCGTGTCCCCGCCCCGTCCCCGCCCCGCCCCCGGCCTGGTTCCTCTGGCGATCGAGACCGCCCCGGGACGCAGGAGGAGGGGCGCGGCGGCGCCGGAAAGTTCAGCTCTGCCCAGGCGAGTGTGCCCGTGGGCCGGAGGAGGGACAGAGGCAGGTCGGCCTGTCTGCCTGGACGAGGACCTGGGCGCCGTAGGTGCCCCGGGAAGCGCAGGGTTGCGGGGTACCCGGGAGGAAGGTGGCCAGGGGTGCTGCGGGGGCCGGTGGCGGGGAGGGGACCGTGGGAGGCAAGGGCCGTTCCCCGCGCGGCGCAGAATGCGCGGGTCCTGCGGCCCTCCCGAAGGAGGAGTCTGGGGACCCAGGCCCCCACGCTGGGAGAGCGCCGGGCCCCTGGCCTGCTCCGCTCGGATGATCTCCAGGACTTAGGCGAATGAGCTCAGCGACTGCTGAGGAATGAATGATTGAAGGAATGAATGCATGAATGGAAGGAGGGAGGGAAAGTGGGCGGGCTCTACCCTCTCGGCCAGCCCTAGCCCTCCCTGACCTGGCCTAGCTCCCCTAGCCTTCGAGGGGTCTGAAGGGCGCTGGCGCAGCCTATTTGCCTAATACTGGCTCTGAGGAGTCCCCGCCGAGAAACCGATGCAGCCTTGTGGCCCAGGGCTGGTCAGCCTTGGCAGTGGCGTCTGACCTAGAGTCTGGGGCAGCTGGTCTGGGAAAGGCTGCGCCACGCAACCGAGGGTTGGACCCAGGGCCTCTGCTCCCTTCCCACCGCGCCCAGCCCACCCCGCCCTCCCTCCCTGATCCCCGCAAGCCAGGTGGGGCCCAGAGGGGACGTCACTCCCTTTCTGCAGAGGCAGCCCCGGAAGGGCCTGGATGAGGCTGCTGGACAGGGCAGCGGGGCACCCTCCTCCCGGAGCCCACGCTTCTGGTCTGAGGCTCGGATCCCCACTGCCTCCTGCGCGCGGAGGAGGCGAGAAGCGCCCGGAGACGGGGGCCACAGACGGCACCCCGCAGGCTGCCATTCCTTCAACCAAGATGTAGAGAACGCCGTGGACAAAAGCTTAAAAAAAATTCTGAAACCTCTGCCCGTGGAAGTCAACATTTTTGCGGAGCAGAGAGCCCAGGCACAAAATAAGAAGGCGGAAGAGACGGACTGGGGGGGGTAGGGGGACTGCGGCGGGGAAGAGCAGGGAGGGCGGCGGGAGGGCAGGTAGTGCGGCGGCGAGGGCGCAGGAAGCCCGAAGCCGGGCGGTTTCCCTCTCCCAGGTCAAGCTGAGAGATGGGGGTTGGGGGGATTTAAAATCGCGCGCCTGGCAGGGGCGGGACGGCGGCCACCTGCCCTCCGGCGGGAAGGGCTGGGCAGGGCCCGCGGCGCGCAGGGTGGAGGCACCAACGGTCAGCACACAGGTGAGGTGGGGCGCGTAATCCCATCTGAGCCGGACTCTTTAGGACGAGTCCCGTCCCTGGAGCCAGAAAACCCGGTCCAGCGCCAGCGTGGACGTGCGCTTCCCGGAACGCGCTCAGGGACGCCTGCTAGGACCAGCGAGGCTGGAGGGGTCGCGATGTTGGGGGCTGAGGTTCCTCTCCCCCGGCCGGACGGCTGCTGGTAGGGGACCGCATCGCCCGGCAGGTGAGGAGGGCGCAGGTGAGCCGGGCGGGCGGGCTGCGGGCAGCGCCACCTCCTTCCGGAGGCCCTCCCTGATGGACCGGCCGGGCTCCGTGCGCCTCTGGACCTGCGGCTGAGCTCCGGGGCTGCGCCGCGCTGATTAGCTGACGCCGGGCCAAGCGCTGCACCCCCGGGCCGGACGCACCTGAATGCCGCCGGATTGCGGGGAGGGGAACGGCCCCCGGATACCGCGTGGAGGCTGTGGGAGGATGGGAATGGGTCCTGGAGGAGCAGAGCCTCCGAAATTAAGGTCTCCCAAGAGCGCGGCCGGTCATCCGCTGCGGCGAAGGGAAGGTGCCCCGTCGGTGGGTCCAGACCCGGCAGCCCCCAGTGCCCCCCGGGGGCGGTGGGAGAGGGGCCGACACTGCAGGGCCCGCCGTGCTGTGGCCGAGGGGGCAGGTCCAGGCTCTGCTTCCCGGGCAGACGCCAGAGACCCCCAGCAAGCCAAGTGCTGCGGGCAGGTCCCCCGAGAGAGGGGACTCCGCGTGGAGGGCACAGCCAGGCAGGGGGCAGGAATGCAGCTGCGCCAGAAGGGGTGGCCGCGGGGGAGGGCGCCAGGACCAGCCCAGGAACCTCGGAGACTACGGGAGACAACGGTAAGCGGTGGCTGGTTCAGATCCCAGCCCCGGAGCTGTGTGACCTCAGCAAGTTCCTTAGCCCCTTGGTGCCCGCATCCCCTGACCTGTAACATATACGTGAATGCGGGGTGGTTGTGAGTGAACACACAGCACACCGGCACATGGGTCACGACACTCAGAGGAGTTTAGATGAAGAAACAGAAAAACCCTTGGGAAGTTTCCTGTAGTCAAAGGAAGGTTTCATTTTCCCCCTCAACCGTGACAGTTTCTTGGACCAGCAGGATATGCTTTTGTTCTAGGGGTGTGGAGAGAAGGCCCCTTGGCAGTGTCCAGGGCCAACTGGGAACCAAGCAGGAATCGTATTTGTGCAGCCTGGGGTTTGAGGCTCTGGGTACAAGTCATAGTGCTTAAGCAGGAAGCAGCTGCCGGATGCTCCCAGCCCCAGACCGCGGGGATCTTCTGATCTCTGCCTTGATGCACCTCCAGGCCCCGGTCCCTTTGGGGTCTGGCACAGCAACCTGCGTTTGACAGCATGGGCATCGGCTGATGCTGAGAGCTTCACTCTTGGTCCGAGGAAGATCTTTTCTCTTCGGGTGTACAGTCATATGTTCATACGTTTGGTACAGTCATATGTATCAAAAGGATACATTCCTTCTGAGAAATGCGTCCTTAGGTGATTTTGTCCTTGTGTGAACACAGAGTGCACACACCGACCCTGGTGGCCCAGCCCGCTGCACGCGGAGGCTGTATGTCACAGCCTGCTGCTCCCGGGCCACAAGCCTACATGGCAGGTGACTGTGCTGAACAGCGTAGGCAGCTGTGACTCACTGGTATTTGTGTATCTAAAGCCATCTAAACATAGAACAGGTGCAGTAAAAATACCGCGTTGTGATATGGGAGCACTGTGGCATTGCTTGTTGACCAAAGGTTGTTATGTGGTGCATGACAGTAGGTTCGTTTCCTGTGGGCGCTGGGAGCTAATGACCTCACACTTGCTGGCTCAAAACAACAGCAGTCTATTCTCTCTCAGCCCTGGAGGGTGGAAGCCTGCCTGGTGGAGGCGCTAGGGGAGCATCCGACCTGCCTCTCCCAGCTCCGGGTGGCCCAGGCATCCCTGTGCTTTGCTCCAGTCTCTGCCTCAGTGGCCATGTGGCTTCTCTGTGTGGTCAAGCCTCACTTTGCCCCTCTCTTATGAGGACCTTTGGGATGACAGATAGAACCCACCTGGATGATCCAGGGAGGCCTCCCACCTCAATTTAATCCCATCAGCAAAGTCCTTTCTTTGCCACATGAGGTAATATTCACAGTATCCGGGAATGGGGACATGGGCATCTTTTGGAGGGTTGTTCAGCTGAGTACGGGATCATGTTGCAGGTCCTGTGTGTAAAATTAAAATACCTGGAGGACCAGGCACAGTGGCTCACATCTTTAATTCCAACACTTAGGGAGGCCAAGGTGGGAGGATCACTTGAGCCCAGGAGTTTGAGACCAGTCTGGGCAACAGAGCAAGACCCCATCTCTACAAATAATTTTTAAAAATTAGCCGGGCATGGTGGCACGCACCTGTAGTCCCAGCTACTCCAGACGCTGATGCTGGAGGATCTCTTGAGACCAGGAGATGGAGGCTGCAGTGAGCTATGGTTTTGCCACTGCACTCCAGCCTGGGAGACGAGCTAGACCCTGTCTCAAAACGTAAAAACTTAAAATACACAGAGAATCTCAAGGTGGCGTGGACAGTTCTGAGTGTTGGGGAGAGAACAAAAGAAGGAAAGTGCATTTTGGGTGGCAGAAAGGCCCTCCCAGCACCGTGGGCCCCTGCTTTGAAGCAACCCTCACAGAAGCTGAGCATGAGTTATGCTGGGCCCATGACACTAGTTCCCTGGGTGCACGCAGCCTGAGCCCAGCCCGCCCTGTCTGGAGCTCTCACCACCTGCCTGGCCCGTGCTCATGGGCTCACGATGGCTTCAGCTGGAGCTCGTGTCAGCTCGAGCACGGCCTCCCCAGAGGGCTCATTTGCACTTGGATGCCCTCACCTGTTCTCCCTCTGTGGCTTCAGGAACCCCGGGGTCATTACAGAGCTGGCTAAATTCATCCCTGGATGTGAGACCTGTGTTGTAGGCATCCAGGACTGTCCCAAGATGGGAGAGGCATCCAGTCATGTTAATTGAAGTGAAGACTTCTATTTACTTCCAGATACACATTCTTAACCTTCCTAGGGCCCCATTTTGACCTTTCTTCCACAACGCATTTTACCTACCACTAATAGCCCCAGTGCAGACCCCAAAGTTCCCCTGTAGGATTCATTTCCAGTGATTTGAGCCCAGCCTGAGGCAGAGCTTTCTGCTGAGTTGATCCTTACTCAGACTCAAACTGCAGAGGGCCAGGAGGAGCCCTGTTTTTTGCAATCAATACCACCTGGGGTAGGACCCAAACGTGACATCCTTTGTGTGTGGATCTGGCCTTGGCCTCCGCACTGTCTGTTCAGCAGGTCCCTCCTTTGCCTGCCAAGGCTGAGGTCCTGTACTTTGCAAAGGTCCAGGCCGTTTGGTGCAGCTACAATCAGCATGCGTGGTTTTCTCTATGAAAGCAACAGCGATCTCGTGGGGAAGGCCCTGGCAGAAAGTGCATCATGCAGGACACGGCGCAGGCGCTCCAAAGACGCCTCCTGCTCACTTCTGGCCTCCACCCCATGCCCTGCAGGATGACAGGTGGCTGTGCCTATACATAAAACACCAGACGTGACCAATGACTATCTTATAATAAATATACTTGAACTTCTCAACTAGAACACAGAAATGCTTTCGGGAAGTACAACGCGTACCACCATGTGTGGTCCTGTGCGCAGCGGCGGGAGCCTCTGCCCCGGGAGCCAGCGTGGTGTGGGGGAGAGACCCCGAGTCTCCAGAACCCAACGGAACGTGGGTCTGCAGTGACGACGCAAAAACCGAAGACGAGCAATAAAATAATAATCCAAACAGGAAAGAGACAATGTGAAGAAAGCTGCCTTTGTTCTAGGAAAAGTCTTTTTTTCCTTTTCACAGTATAGTGACTCATTTATAAAGAGGAAGTGAGTTCGGTTGAAAAATACTTGAAATATTCTCTTAGGGGGAGAAAGCAGTTCTTCACCAGCTTGGTGGGCCACTTGGCCGCGAGCTTCGAGCTCTGCCTGTTCTGAGTCAGCAGGGACAATTCTTCTTCCGAAACCAGAACCCGCTGCCTGCTGCTGAGAGGAGGGAGGGAAGGCTGTGGGCAAGTGCAGCACCCACCAGGCGGGCCGGAGATGGGGCTGGGAAGGAATCGCTTCGAGGGGGTGAGGGGAACAGCCTGCCTCTCAGTTGTCCCAGGCGCCTAAGATGCCCTGGAACCCCCACCCGATTCTGGGAGTTTTTCTCACGGAGGTGTACTGAGCAGCAGGAGACCAGACAACTCCCCTACCTCCACCTCCCCCCGGCAGGGGGCTGGTCCCCTGGGAAGCAGGCTGGGGGTGACTCTGTGTGAACAGCGAGCTCCAGGGCCATCGCTAGAGGATGTCACCATCCTGGGCAGCACCCCCGCAGAGGAAAGGACAGGACTCCAGGCAAAAGTTAGCCAAACCCTTGCAGAGTCAGCAACCACTCCCAGGGAATTGTATCACAAAGGCTGTCCCCTGGGCTCCTGGGGCTGCCTGTGCTGGAAGCCTGAGCCCTGAGCGCAGGAGGGCAGGTGGGGAGAGGAAAAGGTCCCCTGCCAGCCTACGGTGTGAGGAGCCCTTGGGGAAGATGGGCTTTGCAGACTTGGCACCGACACCCCCTCTCGTACTCCCAGCCACCCCCCTGGAGGCCAGGAACATTTCTCAGTTTCTTTCAGGGTGAAGGCTGCGAGTGAAGTGCCAGATACAGTGTCCCCCTCCTCCTCGGGCACCCTCCCTAGGGCAGTGGGGACTGTCCTTAACCATTCTGGGGGTGACGGTGGCCACCTCTGCAAAATGATTTCTCTTTCAGTGAGTGGGTGTCTCACGTCACTGTTGAGACACCCGAGACCCTCGGAGGGAAACCTGTGGGAAGGAGCTGCCAGCCTCCTTCTAGGAACCAGGTGACCCCAAGATCACGGCTTAGGTGCATCCAACCCTGGAAACCCTGTGAGGAGCTCTGTGGGGCCTCGCTCAGAAAGGGGGCCTGGGAAGAAGCAGCTGCCAGCCCATGGCCCAAGCCTACAGGGGCCACAGGTGTGGCCACTGGAGTGGAGGGAGGTGCCTTTGGTGGAGGAGCCTTGCAACCCTGGGTCTGGCTGCACCTGCCACATAAGAACCCTGCTGGGGTGCTGTTCTCTCACTGCTGCGTGGATGCATGGAGCCTCCGGGAACAGGCAGCAGGTGAGGCATGGCCTGTAATGCACACAGGTGTTGCTGGGTCTGCCCCCACCTTCAGCCCCGCTCACCCAGCCCCACAGAGCCTGGTACGGCCTCCAGGGAAGTGACACGGGGGGAGCAGGCTTAGGGTGAGGGGGAGGTTGTGGGAAGTCCGGCATGCAGGTGAGAGGGCTTCTGAAGAGAAAGCATCTGGCAAAGTGCTTCAGCTCAGCCCCTCCCAAACTCAAATCCAGGGGAGGCCAGGCCAGCAGGACCTGTGGGCGCCACGCCTTGGCAGGTGCCAAGCAACAGGATCGTGCCATGGCAGTGACATGGGAGAATGCAGGAACCTGAGAGGTGAGAGGGAATAAGTTTCCAGAACTCACTCTCAGGCAGGAGACATGACTCAGCTGAGCCAGAAAGCGCTCGTTCCACACGAATGCACGTATGAGCAAGGCATGCCAGGTGAGTGTGGGAGTGAGGGGATGGACGGGCGGTCGGCTGGAGGGTGTGAGGTCTGGGCCGCCTGGGAAGGCTGTCGAGGGGCGAGGGCAGCTGGGAGAGGCCATGGGGGCAGCAGGAGGGGGTGCTCAGCCGCAGAGGGCACGTGGGGCAGGGCCGTGTGTTCAAGGCCCCAAAAGGTGGGGACGGCAGCCCAGGAGTGCACCATGGGGGTGCAAGCATGTGGGTGGGTGTGAGACTGATGCGTGTGTGCCTGTGATTGTGAGCACATGTGACATGCACATGCTAGTCGTGAGTGTGCTTGTGTGAGCATGTGACTGACAGTGCATGCGGGCATGTGGATGAGCGTGGCCTTGGGAATGACTGTGTGTGTACACATGAGTACACAGGCGTGTGGATGAGCGTGGCTGTGGGAATGACTGTGTGTGTGCACATGAGTACACAGGCGTGTGGATGAGCGTGACCGTGGGAACGACTGTGTGTGGATGAGTGTGACCGTGGGACTGACTGTATGTGTGCGCACATGAGCACACAGGTGTGTGGATGAGCGTGCAAGTGAGTCGTGTGAGTGTGGCTGAGTGTGAGCACACATGAGCTTATGGGTGTGCAAGGGAGGTGGGGAGACCACACGGAGTGAAAGCCTGGGGACTGCAGCCAATCCAGGGCCAGGGCGCCATGGCGCATATGGGTGTCCAGGGGCTGGAACCCAAGAAGCTGAGAGCCAGTGCTGGAGAAGGTCCCCAAGGGGAAAGGGGCGTCCTTGGGCTTCGGTGCCTTCAGGGTCTCAGGGTGGCCCTGGAGGCCGACCGCAGTCCCACTGGGGCACAGAGGCTGCTCTGGGTTTGGCTCTGCTAGGCAGACCCCATTTCCTTGGTGAACTCCGCTCTGGGTCCACGTCCCCCTTGACCCTGAACGCTTTTGGCTGCCCGGGAAATACCTCCTTATGGCCGGAATGTTGCTCCACACGCGGACAGCATTCTGTAGGGATCCGCCACGGACATCTGGGATGGTGGTGGGCTCCATCTGGGGGTGGGAGGGTCGGCCGTGGGTCAGGGGTAAGCGCCCCCCATGGGCCCCCTGGCCGCAGCCGCCAATGGCCCTGAGTGGTCAATGGACTTTCTAGCCCGACTGTGTTTCCTGTGTCCCTTTTTCTTATAAATCACCTTTGGAGAAAAAGCTGACGAATTATTTTAAACCGACAGAACAGACTCTGTGGCAATAAGATATCAAATTACAAACAGGACCTCAGGCCACAGCAGGCAAGGGTCGAGCCACGTACCCTACACTGAGAGGACGGACTCTGCCCTCACGCCACAGCTGCTTTTTCTCCAGCAGCTAAACACACACTGGCCCGGCCATGAGCAAGATTCAAATGACTGCAGCCCATCCACCCGCAGACGCAAACTGACCACGTTCCACAGCCATGACCACAGCTCTGACTGGGCAGAAGCCTGACTTCAGGAACCTCCTCCTGATAAGGGACCCCTGACCGTGGACCGGCTCCGGCCGATTTACAGAGGCTCCGCCTTGAGTGCCTTTGTGTTCCGAGAAGACCTGAGGTTTAGGGCCTCATTGCGACACACTGACGTGTTAAGACCCCACCCCAGGGTGAACACAGGTCGTATGTTACATGCATGTTTGTTCAGTACGTGTGCAGCAGGACCCCCTTCATGAACAACCTGCCGCACAGGTTTAGCCAACCCGGTCAGCACGGAGCTCCTGCCCCGGCCACCCCTCCCCTTCGAAGTGCCGCCTCCTGGCTCCTCTGGTCTTGGCAGAGGCCGTGCTTCCCAGCCTGGGGGACAGGGCCTTGCAGGCTGTGTCCCTTTACAGAAACAAAGTCTCCTGTTCTAAAAGCACAGATCTTGTGATTTTCAGTTCATGGCATTTGCTCCCCTTCCCAATGGCTGGGTTTGCATTCCAGCCACTCCATGAGATTCCAGCACCAAGGGAACCTCGACCCCGCCTGGACCCCCAGCAAAGGCTCCAGCCCACAGGTGCTGCCCACTCGGTGGGTGGGGCCCCCGCTGGCTGTGGCCCCTCCATGGAACCTGAGAGCATGAGGAACTTCCCCCTCCCGAACCTCTCCCGCCTGTCTCCTGTGGCTGAGGTGTGGCCGTCCCTCCCCAACCCTGACCCGGCCCGTCAGACCCAGAGGGGACCCATCAACTGAGCCCAAAAGTGGCTGCTCTGACAATCAGGATTCAGACATGTGAAGAGAAGGCTGTGTGTGTGTGGTGGGGGGAGTATGCGTGCACGTAGCGTACCTGCGTGTGGTAAGTGTGTCCCTGTGTGTGGCGCATGTGTACAGTGACTGTGTGCACATGTGCACTGTGGTGTGTGTTCACCTGTGTGTGTGATGTGCACGTGTGTGTGTGGAGACTGAGGGGGCGGCAGCAGGAGGTGAGGCCCCAAGGCCGTGTTCTGTGAGCACAGGAGTAGTGTGAGGTGGGACTGCCCTCCAAGGCTGTCCTCGAAGGGGCTTCATGTCCCAGGCACCACGGTCCCTGCCTGGACTGCACAGCAGCTCTCCTGGGCCCTGTGCACACCTGGAAACCAGGGACCACAGGGTTCCAGGCCTGGAGCCTGGGGTGTAGACTGAGCGCCACCCGAAGAGCCCCTTCCTCACATGGGCAGGGGTAGAGGGAGGCCCATGCGGCCCCGCACACACCTCCAGGAAGCGAGACGCGACGTCCTGGTCTTCTTTGTTCAGTACCAGATTGTCCACGAACATCCAGAAGAAGGGTCTGGGGCTGCCTGACCCGGGCCGCACGTACTGCAGGAGCCGGTGGAACTGGAACAGGTACCAGCCTGGAGGGCGTGAGGGGGCAGGGCTGAGGGGGGTCCGGAGGCAAGGGCTGGTAGTGGCGGGGTGCTGTTCAGGTGCATCTAGGCAGGGGCCCAAGGAAACTGTGGCATGAGAGCAGCACCGAGGGGGTCTATGGGATGCACCAGCCTGGGTCTGAGGGGTCCCCTGCCCCTGTTCCTCCAGCAGCAATGGAGCCCTGCCCAGTGCCGGGGCCACAGAGGTGCGAGGACCCCTCCTCCCCCAGGCAGGCCCAGAGTTGGGAAGAGACAGACAGGCAACCCCGAGGGAGGCACGGACGCAGAGCGCGTGCCGTGGCACAAATACCGCCTTTTAGAGGAAGCTCCAGAGGATACGTGAGCTGCAGTGACGTGGGCACGCTAGGGACTGCACGGGGTCAGCAGGAGGCTTGGGGGGCACAGGGAAGCCTAAGTGACGGGGACACTTTGTTGCTCATGATGAGGCGTGCATGGGTGTGGAGCTAGCTCAGTGCCTCCTCCTTTATTGAGGCACCACTGACACACAGTAAGTTGCACACATTCAGTTGGACACACTGTGTGTCAGTGGAGCCTCAATAAAGCTGCTTTTGAAAAATGCTGACAATTTGCAGTTTCTGCCCTGGCATGGAGGGGTGGGGAAAGAGGAGAGGAGACGGGGTGGTGGGGACAGGGTGTCAGGACTGAAGCGTCACTCACTGGGAGGATGGTCGCAGGTGTGGCCCAGGGGAGGTGTGGCGCCGTACAGGAGATCAAAGGGCCCCCACTCCTCCACCTGCAGGACAGACAGGCATGGGCACCGAGAGGCAGCAGCAGTGGGCAAGGTCGCGTACGGTAGCACGAGATGTCCTCAGGGCCGACCCTGCTCAGCTCGCAGGGCTCACAGGCCAGGGCAAGCTGAGATGTGGAGCCCACTAGGGCAGAGCCATCCCCAGCCACCACCAGCCTCAGGGGCTGCCTGCCTGGAGCCCAGAGGAGAACGCTCCGAATCTGAGGTGAAGACTCTGTGCCACGCGTTTGGGGACTGAACTCTGCCTTTATCTTTTCTTGCTCAAATTCCTTTCTAAGGAGCGTGGGGGGAATCACAGCTTACAAACCACAAAAGCTTGTGGAATGGGTGTTTTTGAGCCGGTGTATTATGGCTGTGCCATGGCGTCACATGACAGACAGCAGACCTTATTTTAACTCAAGCATTCCTTTCTACTGACTCCGAGTTTTCAGGCAAAGCTTAACTCTTTCATCCAACTGCCAACTAAAGAATCCCTAATGTAAGCTTCAAGATAGCCCGCCTTTTGGGGCTGAACCAATGCACACCTATGTATTGATTGATTGATTGATTGAATTTTTTGAGATGGGGTCTCACTCTGTCACCCAGGCTGTAGTGCAATGGTGAGATCTCGGCTCACTGCAACCTCCACCTCCTGGGCTCAAAGTGCTGGGATTACAGGCGTGAGCCACCGTGCCTGGCCCGTGTACTGATTTCTGATTCTACCTGCAGTTCCCATCTCCCTGAAATGTATAAAACCAAAACTGTTACTGACCGCCTTGGGTGCACTTCCTCGGGACCTCTTAAGACTGTGTTTCCCAGGCCATGGTCACTCTTACTGGCTCAGAATAAACCTATTTAAATACTTTGGCAGAATTTGGTTTTTCTGTCTGCCATCCCATTGCCCTTGGAGAACCAGTCCTGGGAGGCCCAACCCAATGCACAGACTGTCATCCGTGAACACGGCAGGCGCTGTCCACAGCCCTCCAGGAGCTAATGTCAAGGGCAGAGCCTTCCCTGCTGAACAGAAACAGCCCCGCAGAGCACCAGTGACCAGGCTGCTCCATGGCCAAGCTGGAAGAAGACAAAACACAGCCACCCAACAATCTTGCCTGAACACAGACACGACAAGGGTGCCCTTTAGTCCCAAAAAGTGACCAAGGGGAGGCTGTGAGCAACGCTGGCTTCATTAACAGTGATGGCCCTCACTCTGTCATTCTTCTTAAATAAAAATTAATGGCTAGGCACGGTGGCTAATGCCTATAATCCCAGCACTTTAGGAGGCCAAGGCGGGTGGATCATCTGACGTCAGGAGTTCAAGACCAGCCTGACCAATATGGTGAAACCCCGTCTCTACTAAAAAATACAAAAAATTAGCTGGGCGTGGTGGCGGGTGCCTGTAATCCCAGCCGAGAGGCCCCCGTGTGTTCGGGACTCCTCCCAGCGCCTGCCGCCGCCTCCTTGCCCACCTCATCCTTGACATTTCCTCTGAGGAAGCTCGCACCCCTGCTCCCAGTGCAGCGTCCGAGAGTGCGTGGCGGTACTCACATCCTTCCTCACTGTGTCTGTGACATCATCCAGATGCTTCAGCTGTCCCGGGTCAGAACCGCTTTCCAAAAAGCCCAAACTCGTCAGCTCTGGATGGGGAGAGACCAGAAGGGCCCAGAGGGTGAGCGTGGATTGTGCCTCTACAGGGACTTGAAAAGGCTGACGGCTGATCAAAGGACCCTCCTACCATTAAGGAGCCAACTTTATATTTTTGTTGTTGTTTTTGAGGTGGAGTCTCACTCTGTCGCCCAGGCTGGAGTACAATGGTGCAATCTTGGCTCACTGCAACCTCCGCCTCCCAGGTTCAAGCGATTCCCCTGCCTCAGCCTCCTGAGTAGCTGGGACTACAGGTGTGCGCCACCACGCCCAGCTAATTTTTTTGTATTTTTAGTAGAGACGGGTTTTCACCATTTTGGCCAGGCTGGTCTCCAACTCCTGATCTCAAATGATCCACCCACCTCAGCCTCCCAAAGTGTTGGAATTACAGGCGTGAGCCACCGCACCCCACCCAACTTTATCTTTTTAATGATGTGGCAGGAGGATTAAGGATGGAGGTTTTTGTCTCGTAACAAGCTAAACAAGCAAACATCGCCACGTATTGATTTAGGAACGTCAAGCACGGCCAGGCACAGAGGCTCAAGCCTGTAATTCCAGCATTTTGGGATTCCAAGGCGGATGGATTGGCTGAGGTCAAGAGTTCTAGACCAGCGTGGCCAACATAGTGAAACCCCATCTCTACTAAAAATACAAAAATTAGCTGGGCGTGGTGGCAGGCACCTGTCATCCCAGCTACGCGGGAGGCTGAGGCAGGAGAATCACTTGAACCCGAGGGGTGGAGGCTGCAGTGAGCAGATTGTGCCATTGCACTCCAGCCTGAGCAACAGAGTGAGACTTTGTCTCAAACAAAACAAAACAAAAAGGATGTCAAGCACTGTGTTACAGCGCCAGGCATTTCTGGGATGCGACGTCACCTCTGGCTAGGAAATCCACAGAGCGGTGGAGTCCACTCCACTCTGCAGCTGGTGTGAGCTGCAGAGCCCTGGAACGGCCTTGGAGGAGGCCCCGGCTTCCTCAGCCCCGCCCGGGCAGCAAGGCCTTGGGCAGGCTGTGCGGGCGCTGTGGGATCAGGCTGCTGGTCAGCTGCCCGGGGCAGATACGTGCTCCCGCACAAGGCTGCTCTGAGACACTGTGGGCATTAGTGGGTGTCCCGGGGGGACCCATCCCTTACGGACACGGCCAGAGGAGAGAGAGCGTCTTCATGGATTCGGCTGTGCCTGCGAGGCCCAGAAGACAGTGGGATTTCCAAAGGCCCCAGTGCGGGGTCAGCATGGGCCCAGCGTGGGGAGGGGTGCAGGACACCAGCGGCTGGCCGGCCTCGGGGAGGGTGTGGGGAGCCCGGGGGGTGGCCTGAGGGGCAGTCAGGTGTGTGGAGGCATCCTTCCGTGTGTGTCTTTGGGACATCACTGACTTACCTTTCTTGATGTCTTCAAAAAGAGACAGCACGCGGACCGGCTCTCTCCTCCACACAGGCACGGTTTCAAACATCTCAAGGGGACTCTCCTATTTATTAGAAAACCAAAACAAGGCATTGTGCCAGCTACTTGGTAACAGAGCCCTCGAGATGCAATGAAAATTCTTCCCTGGATGAACACTCAACGTGAGACTCACCGGAGACACACCTAAGATGCACCTGCCGAGGCCTGACTGGGCCTGTCCTGACCAGCACTGCCCCCGAGGAAGGCCAGCTCCACCCCCTGCCCCAGCCTTGGTCTCCTGCTCTGACCTCCAGCTGTCTCCAGCCAACAGACAGTAGGTGTGGAGGGGTTTGCTGATTTATTTTTATTTTTATTTTTATTTTTGAGATGGAGTCTTGCTCTGTCACCCAGGCTGGAGTAAGGTGGTGCAATCTCAGCTCACTGAAACCTCCACCTCCCGGGTTAAAGCGATTCCCCTGCCTCAGCCTCCCAAGTAGCTGGGACTACAGGCACACGCCACCACGCCCAGCTAATTTTTGTATTTTTAGTAGAGATGGGATTTCACCATGTTGGCCAGGATGGTCTTGCTCACCCAGGCAGCTTCCAGAACGTCGGAGAAGAGAGCCCCAAGGCCAGAGATACCGGGGAGAGGTGAGCCTCGGGGACAGGTGAGGCCCTGTGGGTTGCCCTGCCCTTGCCAATCTGATGGACCAGGCGGGCAGCCAACTCTGGCCTCATGTGCTCCCTGTTAAAGGGCCAGCCCCCCAGGGCCCAAAACTCAGGGACCTCAGCTTTCAGAGCGCTAGGCTCTGTTCCTATAAAACACCATCCCATCTGACCCTTTCCTTCGAATCGGAGCAGGCTGAAGCTTGCTAGGCAGGGAGAGATGACTTGGTTCAACCTTAACAAATGTGAGCTGGCCGGGCGCGGTGGCTCAAGCCTGTAATCCCAGCACTTTGGGAGGCCGAGACGGGCGGATCACGAGGTCAGGAGATCGAGACCATCCTGGCTAACACGGTGAAACCCCGTCTCTACTAAAAAACATACAAAAAACTAGCCGGACGAGGTGGCGGGCGCCTGTAGTCCCAGCTACTCGGGAGGCTGAGGCAGGAGAATGGCGTGAACCCAGGAGGCGGAGGTTGCAGTGAGCTGAGATCCGGCCACTGCACTCCAGCCTGGGCGACAGAGCGAGACTCCGTCTCAAAAAAAACAAAACAAAACAAACAAAAACAAAAAAAAAAATGTGAGCTGGAGGCCAGTGCGGTTTCATGCTCAGCTCAGGGGTCCCTTGCTCCACGCTGGCTGCCTCACCGGGGGCCACACCCCTTCTGTAGGAGCTTCCCATGGCTGGCCTGCAAATTGAAACAGACTGGAGGGGCTGGGCCCGTGGCTTATGCCTGTCATCCCAGCACTTTGGGAGGCCGAGGTAGGTGGATCACTTGAGGCCAGGAGTTGGAGACCAGCCTGGCCAACATGGTGAAACCCCATCTCTACCAAAAGTACAGAATTAGCCAGGTATGGTGGCGGGTGCCTGTAATCCCAGGTACTCGGGAAGCAGGAAGGAGAATCGCTTGAACCTGGGAGGCTGAGGTTGCAGTGAGCCAAGATGGTGCTACTGCACTCCAGGCTGGGTAACAAGAGCGAAACACTATCTCAAAAATAAAAAAATAAAAAACAGACCAGGGGACTTAGCACAGCAGAAATTATTCTCTCACAGCTCAGGAGGACAGAGGTTTTGAAGTGAAGGTGTGCCGGCAGGCATGCCTCCCTCAGAAGGTGCCAGGCGAGGATGTGCCAGGCCTTTCCCTCAGCTCCTGGGGCTGCTGGCACCCGTGGCTGGTGGATGCCTCACTCCAGTCTCTGCTTCCATCATCACATGGCTGTCTTCCCCGTCTCCATTTTCTAAGTCTCTTACAGGGACACTAGCCGCTGCACTGAGGGCCCACCCTAGACCTGGAATGATCTCATCTCGCGACTCTTAACATCTGCAAAAACCCTATTTCCCAATAAGATCACATTCACAGGTACGGGGCTGGGGACTTGGGTGTACCTCTCAGAGGGACACAATTCCACCTTCTCCGCCTTTGTCTGCGGTTCCTGCTGGGCTCCCCCCCAGCTTCTCAGCTGGACTCCCAAAAGGGCCCACCCCTGGCCAGCATAGGCCCAGGCGTTTGTTCCTGAGGACTGGACTTTGAGACGTGCTGAGGACTTGTCAGCCACCCTCTCCTGGCCCCTCTCCTACTGCTACCAGGGCCTCGTTCCTAGGCTTGGAAGCAACAAAACTGCCGTGCCAGAGCAGTTTACCCAAAGCCACCATCGAGTGGAAGCTGCTATCGGAGAGGACACCAGGAAAGAGCGTTCGCTCCCAAGCCTGCAGCTGTGGTGCCCATCGGCGCGCCTGCATTCTGCAGCAGGAACCAAGGGAAGGCCGTAAGCCTGCCGCCGGGTCCTGCCCCTCCGCGGGCTCCTTACCGACTCTCGGTCGTAGAAGGCCTTGAGCTGACCGCGCCACTTCCTCCGGCGTTGCAGCAGCCCGCTTCGGGAGAAGGGCAGGCACAGGAAGCACACCCAGTTGCTCATGGCATGCACCTTCCCCGAGGTCCCGGGGCCGACCAGGCTATCCACACACTCAAAGCAGTAGCATCTAGGGTCGAACAGAAAACCACAGCAGCGGACATGACAGCCCGCCTATGCCGAGGATGGCGGAGGTGGGGCTGAGCCCTGTTTTGGAGGGAAAAGTCACACTGGAGCTCCCTTTGGGAAGACCAGGTGGTAGACTGGGAAGAGGAACACGGTCCTTCCTAGGGGCACAGAGTGACAGGAGCCTAGCCAGGTGCAGAAGACAGGGAGGTGGATTCGCAGGCAATGACAGATCCAAGGAAGCCCCTAAGGCACCTGTCTGCCCCCAAACTCGAGCCTGCAGAAACAGGGTGGGACTCCCAGCAAAACCAAATGTAGTAACACCAGCTGGAGGAGAGAACTTGAGGCGGGAGGAGCTGTAAATACGAGGATGGCCCAGAAGGACTGAGGGGAGGAGCCCACGGAGGGAGTTGAGGCAGGGGAGTAACGAACGAGGGGTGAACATGCCCCTTGTCACCCCGGTCATGACTGGCAGCCTGGGGTGTGGGGTTTCCATCACTCCCCTGCACAGTGATGTGGCAATACCAATACTGAAAACAAAAATCACAATTGCCAACCGCAGACACCCGCCTCCCATTGCTGAGGGCTCTATGCCAAATGACACATTTGAGACAGAAATCAGAAGCTCTCAGGGAAATCATCCATTTGGGAGGAAAATCCACCCACACTCCAGAATGAGTAGTTGAAAGGATGAGTGTGTCCTCAGCCCCTTCACCGCCCTGGGCAGGCCCCTCGCCTCACCGGGTGCAATCGGGGTTTCCGCAGATGAGCAGCGTCTCTCCGGAGCAGCAGATGGAGCAGTAGGATTGGTACCCATCATCGTCGTACAGGAAGAGGGCATCCAGGAACTTGTCCTTGGAAGGAGCAAAGCAAGGCTGGCTTGTGTCATCCCTGCTCTGAGGCCACGAGGGAGTCACACCCATTCCCCTTGCCTACCTTACACGGGGCGCATATTCCTCCCTCAAACAGAGGGTGCTGCGTGTGAACCTGGAGACTTCCGCAGCAGAGACAGATGTCTAAAGGAAACATTCAAAACACGTGTTTTCCCAGTGCTGTCAAATGCGGCGGATGACTTAGGAATAAATTCAGCCAAACAAGTATGAGGCTTACACACTGAAAACTGCAAAGCATTGTTGAAAGATGTTAAGGAAGGTGGAACAAAATGGAAAGATATCCCATGTTCATGGATCAGAAGACTTAATATTGGCTAGGTATGGTGGCTCATGCTTGTAATCCCACCACTTTGGGAGGCTGAGGCGGGCAGATCACCTGAGGTCAGGAGTTCAAGACCAGCCTGGCCAACATGGTGAAACCCCGTCTCTACTGAAAACACAAAAGTTAGCCGGGCATGGTGATAGGTGCCTGTATTCCCAGCTACTTGGGAGGCTGAGGCAGGAGAATTGCTTGAACCTGGTAGATAGAGGTTGCTATGAGCCAAGATCATGACTCTGCACTCCAGCCTGGGGGACAGAGTGAGACTCTGTCTCAAAAAAAAACAAAAAAACAAAACTAATATTGCTAACATAGCATGAGTCCCCAAATGGATCTGCAGACCCTTCTCAAAATCCCAGCTGGCTTTTTGGCAGGAGTTGACCGGCTGATCCTAATTCATATGGAAATGCAAGGGATCCAGAAAAGGCAAACCCATGTTGAAAGAAAGTCGAGGAGTGGTTGCCTCGAGTTAAAAGAAGGGAAGCAAGAAGGGGGAATTCAGAGTGACTGTTACTAGATATGAGTTTTCTTTTGGGGTTGATGAAAATCTTCTAAAATTAGATGGTGATGATGGTTGTTGACTCTGTAAATAAACTAAAATACATTGAACTGTATGCTTTAAACAAAGCTACAGGGGCCTTGGGAGGGGGAGAAGGGATACATGTGGCACAGTGGTGTCCACTGCCTTCTTCCAGGATCTCACTGTCACCCAGGCTGGAGTGCGTGGTGTTATCATAGCTCATTGCAGCCTCAACCTCCCCAGCTCAAGCAATCCTCCCACCTCAGCCTCCTGAGTAGCTGGGACTACAGGTGCACACCACCATGCCTGGTTAATTTTTATTTTTATTTTTTTGTAGAGACAGAGTCTCACTATGCTGCCTAGGCTGGTCTCAAACTCCTGGGCTCAAATGCTCCTCCCACCTTGTTCTCCCAAAGTGCTGGGATTATAGGTGTGAGCCACTCTGCCCCACCTCTTTTGCCTGGTGGGGCAAGCATGCAAATACTCACCTTCTATATTTCGCTGGTTAACCTTGACTTCATATGCAATCAGATCTGGAAAAGAAGATAAGAGGTAGCCCCTTTCTTCTTCCTCTGATCTCTTCATTTAAAATCGGCCCAGAAGTGAGCATCACACATTCATTTTCCAAAGTCACAGGAGCCTGAGGTCCCCTGCCATCCCGCCCTCCCACCTTATCTTGGTGTGTTTAAATGACTATGCCTGGGGGAAGGCTGTGGGTGGGGAATCTCCTGCCCCAGTCTGGGTGTCTGAATAATGCATGAATACTACAGAAGCCTGGAACTCCAGACCCTGTCCAGGCCTGGGGTCATCATCCTAAGTGACTGGTCCAATAAGCAGATATGCCCTCACCTCTGCCTTCCCCGGGCGAAACGGGGCTTGAGAGCTCACTGGATCCCACCAAGATCACGTCCATGCTGGGCTCGGCCTCTGGGTCCAGGGCTGGGATGGCCGCCATGGGGATGCCGCGTCAGGACACAGGACACGCGGACACAGGTGTGAGAAACCCGTCAGCCCCTGCTCAGATCCCCGACGCACCCCAGCACGGGAAGCAGCTTGCTGAGCAGACCCTGCCTAGCTCAGGCCACCTGCACCCCTACAGTGACACCCACCTGCCCAACCCAGGGATGACGGGCAGGACAGCCAAAGCCAGTACCAGCCCTGAGAGGGGCTCGAGGGTCCCCTGAGGCGTGCCCCCAACCTGCCTGGCCCTGCTGCAACATGGAAGACGGGTGGTTCAATTCACCCCAGAAAGGGGAGGGCAGGGGCCTCATGAGGACGGGGGGCCAATGGCCACTGCAGCCCCTGCTTGCCTCTGGGCCCAGCCTTCGACCCCCTCAGAGATCCCCATGCTCCAGCCACCCACAGTGTCCCCCAGGCTCAGCAGGGACCCCTGGGGATGGTCTTGGCCAGCCGCACCCTTGAAGGCAGGACGATCAGGGAGTGGAAGAGAGACTCACAGGTTTCACAGGGCTGCTGCCACGGCTCCGGGTACAGCCAGCTGGTGGGCTCGAGGTTCCAGCGGTCCAGGGCCTCCAGGCTCAGGGTCCCCGGGGAGGACTGGGCCATGGAACGAGGGACGGCGCAAGCAAAGAATGAGCTGGAAGGATCCAGGCCCACCTGGGACAGCGGGAGGCCAGAGGGCACCAGGCTGTGGGGGCGAAGAATCTGGGCGTGTCCCGCGGGGGCGGGAGGGGCGGGGGCGGGGCAGCCCTTCAGTGCCGGTGTGCAGTGGGAGGGGCGAGGAGCTGCTGGGGGTCACTTGGGGTGGGGAGCTAGGAAGCTGGGGGAGGGGCAGGGAAATGGAATCCTCAGGTGGGGTGGGTTAAGAGCTCAGTGGGGCTGGGGGATTGGGGTGCAGAGGATGGGGCCCTCAGGGTGGAGTGAGGGGTGGAGTTTAGGGACCTCAGTGGGGACGGGGTTCAGGGGAGGGGTGGAGATGGGAGGACTGGGGATGGAGCAGATGAGGGGGGTTTCAGTAGAGGGGGGCCCCTGGGGTGGGGTGGAGGATAGGGGTGGCTGTGGGGTTGGGGCAGGGCGCTCAGAGGTGGGGCTTAGGAAGGTCATGGGGTGGGCTTCGGGGCAGGGGTGGGGAAAGGGATGAGGGTGGAGGGGTGGAGGGGTGGAGGGGTGGAGTAGGGCAGGGCTGGGGGTTGGGTGGAGTTCGCCCCCTGGGGGGAGGTGGATGAGGATCAAGTGGAGGTGGCCCTCAGGGCAGGGTGGGTGGGTGGAGGGCGGGGCTTAGGGAGATCGGTTGGGGGATTAGGAAGGGAGTGGGGGTGGGGGTGGATGGTGAGTTGGAGATGGGGGCATTCAGGGGAGGTGGTCCTCTGGCAGGATGGGGGTGATGATAGGGTGGGGGTGGGCACTCAGGGGCAGGGCTGGGGGCGGGGGCGGGTTCAGGGCAAGGGTAGGGACTGGGTGAAAGTAGGAATGGGGATGTGAGGCCGAGGATGGGGATTTCAGTGGAAGTGGCCTTTAGGGCAGGATAGGGGTGGAGAATGGGGTGGGGATGGGCCTTAGGGAGCTCAGGGTGGGGCGGGATGTGAGTGGCGGTGGAGGTAGATGGTGAGGAGATGGGGGTGTTCAGGGGAGGTGGCCCTCTTGGCGGGATAGAGGGAGGGACGTTCAGGAGACGGGCTTGGGAGCTCAGTCTGGAGCCCCAGGTTTGGGGGGCAGCTGTGGGGAAGAGAAGGAGACCTGAGGGGTGGGGTAAGGGGTGTTGGGTGGGGAATGTCAGGGCAGGTCGGGGGCTGGGGATCTGGGTGGGGGTGGAAGGTGGGAGCAGGAAGATGGGGAGGGCAGAGAGGCACTGTGGGAGGTACAGGGTGGGTTGGGAAGGGGGACTTTGTTGGGGGGACGCTGGGGGCTTCAGAGCAGGGGGCGGAGGGCCGTTGGGCAGGGCTGGAGCCACAGGACAGTTATGGTGGTGCTAGAAAGTGGGAGAAGACCCTTGCGGGAGGTAACCCCCCTGAAGTGTGGGCTGGGCCTGGTGACTTCCTCTTGCAAGTACCACATGAGGGATCACCACACAGGGGCAGCCTGATGGCCCCTTGGCCCCTGGCCCAGGCTGGCATCTCAGGGAGGATTTGCCTGGGTGGGTGCCCCACACTGGGGCTTTCTCCCCCTGCCCACAGCCCAGCCTCTCCAGGAGTGAACTGCTGGGTCCCAGCGGAGGCTGCCCAGTGCCTGAGCCTTCCTCCCTGGAGCTGTCAGGCCGCCCTACAGGGGGGGTCTGAGAAACTCGCAGCCAGGAGGACCCTGAGGCACTGCGACCATGAAGTGTCACGTGGGACCCCGGTGGATCCCGGGACAGAGAGGGGCGGTAGCGAAAGGAAAATCTGAATAAAATCTGGCTCGTTGGCTGTAACTCTGCGTGTCTGCAGGTTTGTTCGCATAACCACGGTGTCCATGGCGGCCTGAGGGCTGGGTGGGGTTGCGGCAGTTCTGGACCAGCGCCTCAAGGTTTGTGTAACTTTAAAGCTGTTCCAACATAGTTTCTTTTTTTAATGAAAAAAAGTGAAGGGAGAGAATATTGATGATGACAATGAGATCACTTCCCTGTGTTTGAGTAAAATGATCTTGATTGTTTCCTCCTCCTTTTATTCCAAAGAGCTTTGATTTTTAAGGAGCTCACTGGATTGAAAGTGATTAGAAGGAGCCAGCGGGTACAGGCCCATCCGTCCCCTTACCCCAGCCCCACACCCAGCCTCCGCTGCCCTGTAGTGCTGTTCCCACCAGCACACGTGCAAAGGCGGGAATTCCTGGGGACTGGTTTTGTCTCCAAGGAAGGGCAGTTTTCTTTTTTCTTTCTTTTTTTTTTTTTTGAGACAGAGTCTCACTGGTCGCCCAGGCTGGAGTGCAGTGGCGTGATCTCGGCTCACTGCAAGCTCCGCCTCCCGGGTTCACGCCATTTTCCTCTCGAGTTGCTGGGACTACAGGCGCCCGCCACCACGCCCGACTAATTTTTTGTAGTTTTCGTGTTAGCCAGGTTGGTCTCCATCTCCTGACCTCGTGATCCGCCTGCCTCGGCCTCCCAAAGTGCTGGAATTACAGGTGTGAGCCACTGTGCCTGGCCTCTTTTTTCTTTTTCTTTTCTTTTTTCTTTTTTTTTTTTTTGAGATGGAGTCTCGCTCTGTCGCACAGGCTGGAGTGCAGTGGCACGATCTCAGCTCCCTGCAAGCTCCGCCTCCCGGGTTCACGCCATTCTCCTGCCTCAATCTCCCGAGTAGCTGTGACTACAGGCACCTGCTACCATGCCCGGCTTGTTTTTTGTATTTTTTTTTTTTTTTAGTAGCGACGGGGTTTCACCGTGTTAGCCAGGATGGTCTTGATCTCCTGACCTCATGATTGACCTGCCTCGGCTTCCCAAAGTGCTGGGACTACAGGTGTGAGCCACTGTGCCCAGCTTCCAGAAGGGCAGTTTTCTAACTTCACACTCCAGAACCTCCTGCAGTAAAGGAAGGTTCTGTCCAGGGAGGGTGCTCTGGCGTAGGCCACAGGACAGGAAGCCCCTCGCGTCCATCAGAGCCCCCAGTCCCTGCGCACCCCACTGCAGCTCAGCAGAGACCAGAGCGGGCCCAGCAGGAGAGAGGCCCAGCAGGAGAGAGGCCGGGTGCTCTGCAATGGGCCCCAGAAGAGCCGGCCTCTCATGGGAAGCTCTCTGGGAGCTCAGTCCCTGAGGCCCCCACTGGCACCAGCCCTGTGATATAGCCACCAGCACGCCGACCTCAGGTGCTGGGCACTGGGGGACCTCTGGCCTCACTCTCCGATGCCCCAGGAAGCCCCAAGGCCACAAACATGGCAGGGTGCGTCTTAAAGCTCCCCAGGCAGGGCTACAGGGGCTGATGGAACACAGTCCCCGCTGTGTGGCTGTCCTTCCCTGGCACTCATGGGTGCATCTGGCGCCTTCCTTCTGCATGAGCTCCCATGCCCTCACCCAGCCTGGAAGCCACCTGTGTGCTGGCTTGATGGGGTGACCCACAGCTCACTACACATTGATTTCTGGTGCTGTTGACCTAGGGGTCTGGAAAGGCCCTCTGACTCAACCTGGCCTTGGCCCGGGCCCAGCTGGACTCGCGGTGGCCACATACAGCCAGGGCCATGAGGGTCAGGGAGAAAGGACAGGACGGCAGCCTCCGCTGTGGAAGCCCCAGGGGCCTGGGTGTGGTCACTGAAGCCTCACCCAGACCTGCTGACCGATGCACTGACCCCAGCAGGAAGAGATTGTCTCACCTCTGCCTGATCAATCTACAGACAGCAGGAGCCAAAGCCCAGCATCTGGGGACACGCTCATGTTCTTGGGCCTCTGAGGGGCAGACTGAGGTGGTGATCACGGCAGGAGAAGGACGCGTGGTGACCCCTCCACATTCAGTGGCCACATTGAGTCACGTGACCCACCCAGCTGTAGTGGGGTGGGAGGTGGTGATGCTTCGTGTTTGTGGAGTGAATGAACGAATGAGCAAACATTCATTCTTCTCCTGAAGACGGACTGCCGAACTGCCGCTGGACTTAGAGGTGACGTGAGCCCTTGTGTCGTTTGACCTAGAGAGAACTGCAAGAGCCCCAGGGCCCACGGTCCGCAGACTGCTCTCCAGTGCCACACCCAGGCCTGCGGCTGATGTGTGGCACGATGGACGAAGCTGATGCTTTGATATTGAGAAAGACAAGCCTGGGAGTGGACCCAGCACCCATAGGGAGGGCCTGGTTCTCTTTTGCAGACGTCAGCAGCCTCGCAGAGCAGATGTCAGACAAGGCTGTTCGAGACAAAAATAAGGCAAGTGAAAAAATAAGGCCACTTCCAAATCGTGGCTCCCACAAAAACAAGGTCCCGGGGCCACCTATAAAAATGACCAAGCATCCCCCTCTTTTGGCTGAAAGGGGTGCGTGCAGTCTCTTCCCGGACGCTAGTTGGGGTTCACTGAGGCTCCCCATTGAAGAACCGCAGCCCTCCTAGCGGAGCCCGGTCCAGAGTTGCCGCGGTGAGCACAGTCAGATCGTCAGGGACACACCGCGGTCACAGTTTGCATCTTTATATTAGAGTCTCTGAGAATCCCGAAATACTATGTCTGCTTCACCCGTTACATTACCCACCATTTCCTCCAAACGTACGAAGTAAAGGAAATTTCCCTTATGGTACCTTTGTAAAAGCCGTGTACGAAATTGTGTTCTCGAAAACACGAGTTTTATTATTTGTGCATGCGTCACATCTTTTCGTAGCTCAATATTAAAAAGCTGCAAAGTGGGAACAGTGAAGTGGTGCCAGACTGTGTAGCCCCAATACTACTGAGCTGTGACATAAAATCTCTGGCAAAGCTTAAGTCTCTCTTCTCTGTCCCTTTCATTTTTTTTGTAATCTTTGGTTGTTTTTTCTTATTAATTTGAAAGCCTCTTTGTGTGTAAAAGATATTGACTCATATAATCCTTGATATATGTAACAAATATTTTCTTAATTTTGTTAACCTATTTTAATGTTTAATGGTATTATTCTGTGCAAGCATATTACATTATCATTTAGTCAGGTCTATGAGTCTTTTTTTTTTTTTTTTGAGGAGTCTCACTCTGTTGCCCAGGCTGGAGTACAATGGTGTGATCTTCACTCACGGCAACATCTGCCTTCTAGGTTCAAGCAATTCTCTGCTCAGCCTCCCGAGTAGCTGGGATTACAGGCATGTACCACCACACCCAGCTATTTTTAGTGGAGACGGGGTTTCACCATGTTGGTCAGGCTGGTCTTGAACTCCTGACCTCATGATCTGCCTGCCTTGGCCTCCCAAAGTGCTGGGATTACAGGCGTGAGGCACTGTGGCCTGCCTTGTCTATGAGTCTTGTTTTAGATTTCCATTCTTCCTAACACATTTAAAAAGTTCCTCTTCACCCCAAGATGGTAGAAGCACGCACCTTTATTTTCTTTGGGTA